ATATACAGTTTTTTGTGAGGCACGCTGTGAAAATTGGGGTCAGGTCACCCGAGGAATGTGGATGTGGGGTCCAAACTGGGAGTTTTAAGCAGAGAAAACCTAAGAGAATAGGAGGAAATGGAGCAGAGAGAAGTCAGACGTGTGGTGGGTTATCTCAAAGGTCCTACACATCCGACGTCTGTCTGTCTCTGTTGGTCTGGGCCTTTGTGTGCTGTCCCTTTCTTGTGAAGTCATCTATTCTCCCCACTGTTAATGCATTTACCACACACACACACACACACACACGTCACACACACACACACACACACACACACACACACACACGTCACACACACACACTCTGTAGACTGCATCGTGAAGTAACCTACAAAGAAGTGTCAGATGTCTGTGTGTGTATGTGTGAATGCGTGTGTGTACGTGCATGGCCATTTATATGGAAAAGCTTAGTCCATCATCTGGTAAAGGAATAATCAGGAATTATACTCTCTCCATCTCTCTGTCTGCCTCTCAGCACTTTTTAAAACAGTTTTCTGGATATTTTCTGGGAGAGTGTCTGTTTGTCTTAGGGTTGTTTATACATGTGTGATTCTTTATGTGCAGCAAACTCAAGTTGCAGTCCAGATGATAAATGTTTTTGTGTCACCAAACCCTTTGCTGTCTTTCCTCAGCAAATAAAATGCTTTTAGACACCACAGTTTCCATTAAAACCATGTCTGTTTTAAACTAGCCATATGACTTCTAAGTGGACATTTTTGTAGCAGCTGTTCATACATATTCATTTCTTCCATTCTCCATGCCACTTTAAAGAATGCAATGCAGGAATGCTTGTAAATTAGGACATCTTCTGGACACACATTTTCCAAATCCTTTTGGTGCCCAGTTGGTTGGCAGTTGACAATCTGAAAATCTGAATTTGTTCCACTGGCCGCTGGTCGACGACGATACTATGTTTGTGCTGGGTAGATCCCAGGTGTGAACATGAGTTAAACTAAGCATGAAGGAATGAGGACATGGATGAAAAGCATGGTCAGTATACTTCAAGGTTAAATAAAGGTTAATGAAGGCAAACAAAGGTTGCAGCTACCTCCAAAATCATCTTGAAACTTCAAGTAACTGGAGATTTGAACTGGCAAGGAATTAAGCCTTCTGGATTCATCCATTTGACAGGGACCCCAGTCTGCTCAGATATTTGTGGTGAGGATTTGTTGACAGTCTGGGTGTGGATGGAGGGCATTCATGTCTGCACTGAAAGATGAAACATATGGACCTTGTAGGAGAAGTGGATAAAAGTATCGTCTTTTTCCTCCACTCCACAGAAATCACCAGGCATGCCTACACTCTATTATTTAACCACAAGGCCGCAGCTAATTGCTTCAGTGTGTGTGTGTGTGTGTGTGTGTCCATGACATAAGACACCAGCGGTTGGGAAAAATGAACCACTGACGTGTCCTGCTGTATTTCATATAGTACAAACCGTTCAATAGGCCTGAATGGTGCACGTCTCACTGACCCAAGACAGCAAGGAAATACAGTTTCTTTGACATCAGTGAGGAAGTAATCCTTTTTATTTAGTGCCAAAGTCAAGAAAATAACGTTTTCTTTTAAGAATCAAAACAGAGAAAAGCTTTACTTGTAAAAGTGTTTATTTCCTTAATGGTCCGACAATGGCATACTGTATGGGTTAAGCTGTTTTATATCCACAATCTCTGAAGAAACTCTGGAGAAAAACGATGGAACTTCAACATGAGACCAAAAAAAATAGAAAGGTTAGACTTGGCTTTCTGATTAATAAGTGATAACCAGGGGACACGGTTTCTTCACACGGTCTTTAAAAAGTTTTACCTGTTTTATCTTCTGTTTCATTTGTGGTGCCTTAAAAATGTCAATCCTTTTTTTTCAAATTATATATCTTTGGATCCAAAGAGCGTCAGTTTTTTTATACTTGCATTGGAGAACTAATCAATCTACATTAATCTCTAGCAAATGTATTTTCCATTTCTGCAATAGTGAGTTAGTGACATACAATAGATGTAGTAATGTATCTGGAATGGTTTGTGTCTGTCTGAATGTGGACGTTCAGAACAGCAGCCTATTGTTTTCAATGTGGTCAAATGACAAGTTTTACAAAGTCGGTTTTTTTGCCTTTTGCTTCAAATGCAATGTACTTTCAGTGAAGAAAAGGGCCTCAAGTGTTTATTCAAGTGTTATCAAGGTCCCAGTGCTTTAGTGGCCACCAAAAAACATCAATTCAAGAACAGCTATTCAGCTTTTAGACAAATAGTTGAAGTGAAATGGAGAGGCTTTAGAGCTGGAAGCTACAGTTCAGTTCCTTGGAAGCTAGAAGGTGAGAATATATCAGAGCCAGAAACAATATGTGGCGAGTGTCTAGGAGTCAAGGAGGTAGAGTATGACCCAGGAGTTAGGGAATATAAAATCAAGGGATCTGTCGGTTCCATTAGAGGTCTTTGGGTTAGGAGATAGAGCAGCGTGGAGGTGCTGTGAGTAGATTCATGTGAACGAGGGGATCTGGGGGTGCGGGACGATGGAAAGGAGAAGTTTTGTCTGTTTCATCAATTACATTTGCGGAATGTGTCTCTGGGGGCGTGGCAGTATGAGCCAGAGGAGGGGCTGAATGATAGAATAAACAGACCAAGTGTGGGAGGTTTGGGGGTAAAAGCAGGGGATCCTGGGGAGAGATTGCTGACTTGGGAGCCCAAATAATAAGAGCTAAAGAGAGGGGGGGGGGGGGGGGGGGGGGGAGCAGGGAGAAGATAAGGAATGGGAGAGCAAGGGGGAAAAGAGAAGGAACGTGGGGGGGTGAAAGAAAAATAAGGAAAGGGAGAGAGGAGGACGGGGGTTGACCAAGAAAATCAGAGGATAACATGCGGAGGATGAAGGAGGAGGAGGAGGAGGAGGAGGAGAAAGAGTTGGGGAACAAGGCCAAAAGGCTCTTTAGGTTCTCCAGGATCCTGAGGTTTTGTGTTTGTTCCCTCTCTTAGTTCCGATGGCCGTTACATAACTGGAAATAACTAGATTGAATGTATATACTCCCGCTGCCAAAACCAACATACCACAGCCAGCAGACGCATCTGCTGTACACTGCGATCACTTACAATGTCTGTGGCTAATATCTGATTGAGCTACACATGCAGCAGGACTTTTCCATCTCATCATCCTCTGTTAAGAAGAAGCAGCAGCATATAATAATGACATCAAGCTGAGCTCAATCAGGCTGTGGCAGGTCACACTTTCCACAGAGAACGTGATGAGCATTTATGTGAAGGACTTTCCACTTATGGTGCTTGCATTGTTCCACAGTTGTTTGTGTGGTAGACCTTAATTTAAACTCTTAAGCCCAGTTGTTTGTCAGCTTAAATCCACATTACTAGGGCTAAAATCCTCACACTCACAGCAGTTGGCGTAATTTACTACTGTTTGGCCTTTCCTGCAGCATCCAAAGAAGAACGAAAAAGATGATATTTTTCTTAGGAAAATCCAAACCCAACCTTTGACCTTTCACCAGGCGTTCATGGTGGACGGATCATATGACATCAGTGGAGGTACCCCAAGTCTTTGCTCCCCAACCACTAAGAGGTCAGGCTGATGCACATCTGGCATTTCCTGTTTCCTCTCCTCCATATGCCCCTGAGTGGCAGCCCCACACACACACACACACACACACACACGCACACGCACACGCACACACACACACACACACACACACACACTGAGGCACACGTATGCTTAAGACACATGTCTTAGACAGCCTAGAATGAACTCACTCTCTCGTATATGCACAGCCCCAAAGTTATTCCTGTTCCATAATCTAATCTTTCCATTGGACTGTAAAAGCGTCCAGCTGGTACGGAAGAAAGAGAGAGGAAAAGGAGAAAATAAGGGGACAAAGAAAGAATGAGATTAACAGAAACAAATTAAGCGACCCCAAACAAAATGAGATGAGGGCAGGGAAAGGAGAATCAGACATGAGGTGGAAGAGAAAAAGAAGAGGGAGAAGAAGAAGAAGGGGGGAGACACATCTCTGCATCTCATAGAGCTGACAAACACTTTCCACTCCTGCGGATGCTGTGCAGCGTGCACTGCTTGAAGTGTGTGTGTGTGTGTGTGTTTATATGAGTGCACGTGTGCGTTTAAAGCCATAGTCTAGATGGGGGGACAGAATAGAGCCGTATGGTTTTCATAACGCTCTGAGGCTTTTCAATTCTGCTACCCCCCCCCCCACCAACCCGTCAAACCCCCTCTAGCCTTTCCTTACACTCACATTTTACCAGCCCCCTCTTCCAAAAAACAACACACAATTCTTCTTTTTCCTCTACGTAGCACCCCCCCCCCCCCTCTCTTCTTTACACCCTCCCCCATCTTTCTCTCTTTCTGAGGGTTCAGTCAGAAAGCCAACTTTGCAGAAGCAAGAAAGCCCCAGCAGGATCAGATACAGGAGAGGGTTTCTGAAATTCATCACATTCATATTTGGACTTTATTTAACTCTCTTTTGGATTCAGCTGAAGGCCATTCAACAATTTCAATCCTGGGACTCTGCTGCTGCTTCACTGGACTTTATTTTGGACTGGACTGGACTTAGGGTATTCCACTGGACTGCATTGGTTTCTATTAGATTCATAATTGATCTGATGAAAGTCTGCTAAACTGTGGCTGCAATGCTAAAAGTTTGCTAATGAACAGATTGACCGATTCTTTACTGCAAAGGATAATTGGGCAATCCAATGTAAATTAAAGTAATCCGATGTCAGTTTTGGGGTTTATCTGCATCAGGTTACTTTGAGTAAAAGATAAATTGGACCAGATTATTTATTCAAATACACTAACAGAATAGAAAAAGTTTTGTTTGGGAAGTTCCGGTTTGTTCAATTAATTGTACTTTTGTCAGGTTTAGTTTAAATTGGAGATCGGAAAAAAGTGATTTTGCTTTATTAGCTTATTTATTTTGTCTGTATTTATTTGAATGTTGGCTTAGTTTAAACCTCATGTCTTGGTGGAGGATGCAAAAGAGCAGCAGGAGCAGTAGCAGTTGCAGCAGCATGGGTCTCCTGAGTGTCCTGTGGCTGCTGATGGTCTGTCTGGCTCCTGTGTGCCGGGGCCAGAGGTTGAAGGAGGCGGAGGGGGAGCAGCCAGCGGCTCAGCTGGAAGAGAGAGACGCTGTCTGCCACCAGGAAGGATGCTACGCTGTCTTCCTCCAGAAGAGGACCTTCAGGGAGGCTGGGCGGAGCTGTCGGGAGCGAGGTGGGACCCTGGCAACCATGCACACCCAGGAGGCAGCGAGCGTGGTCCACGAGCTGCTGTCGGCCATCGAGAGCTCCAGGGCCCGGCTGCGTCTCTGGGTCGGGCTGCACCGACAGCCCCGGCAGTGTTCTTCCACTAGACCGCTCAGAGGATTCGTCTGGGTCACAGGCAAAGTTCCCCCTTTTTAACCTTTGACCTTTTAGTTTTTCTTATTTTGAGCTTTATCACTGTATCAGCCATATAACTTTAACTGAGATGAGACAAAATTAGCCCAAACAGGGAAATTACTTTAAAGTGTTTGACTATGGAAAATATGTGGGTCAGTGAACTGAGTCTTAATTTATTATTAAAAATTAATTCAATAGATAATTGCATACTTCATTAGTTTGTAGCCCAACATAAACAACACTTTATTAAACAATGCTAGACGTAGGCGTCTTTAGAAATGTACAATCTAGTTAAACACATAGACCAACAAACTTTAATTAAACCTTTATTCAATTATTTTGAGTCAGTATTTACAACCATTAGGCCTATTTTAGTTTTAAAACTTCCATACATCAGTTGTATTAAAAGCTTTTGAATCACTTTAAGGTGTTGGCAATAAAGTATTGTGCGGGCCAGACTACAGAGCCTGCACTGACTGGATGGTTATTACATTAGCTACTTTTGTTTCACAGAGACGGAGCTGGCGCGACATTGGAAGTTCAATCCCCTTTTGACCTCACTGCTACACGCAAGCTGATTTAGTCATTACACAAAGCTGGCCCAGTAAAGCCAGATTGTTTTTTTATCACTCGAAGTGTCTGCCTTGGTCTTGAGTTAGCACAGACAAGAGTTATGTGGCCAGCGTAGTCAGATTTCTCCACAATCTGCTTTGATTTATAGGGTTGGTTTACCCAAGTGACAAAAAAACATGTGTCCTAACTCATACCTGGTGGTATCAAACAATGTGAATAGTTTTGGTTTTATTTAACTAGGGTTTGATCCAGAGCCTTTACCCGAATATTTTATAAATGTGAATGTTTTTTTGTGATGCTCACAGTATTATATAAATATGTCAATAAAAGGGCAACTCATCTTTAAAATTACAAACCAGATATTCTAATGTGGTAAACCCCTCCTATTATAGAGTCCGACACAGCTGTAGACTATTATAGTATGATAATATATTCACAAAAAATGTCATGCAATGGAAAATATTAGCAAGTTAAATAGGTCTTTTCAAATTCAATTTGTGTGGAATTTAGAGTCATATCAGACTTTGGCGCCTCCTAGTGGTGGTATCAATAAAGTCACTGAGGCAGACATTAATGCAGGCTGAAACCCCCACTCCTCACACAGAGCCAACCAAGGAACATTATAATACACAAGGTGACAGCAACACATAGACTGCAATGTTTTTTTCACCATAAATTCCCAAGAGAAAATTCTACAGCAGCTTTAATCATGATTTAAAGGAACACTTTAAATGTGTCATAAAGATCTAAACAGTAGAAGAGAAATTGCATGTAGTTAGAAATACATCTAGAAGTTATAAAGAAGGGAATTTCTACTTTTTCTGACCTGGTCCTTTTCTTAATTTTTTCCAACAGGAGACCAGGACGGCCAGTTCACTAACTGGCTCCGAGAAGACGCCCCTGGGACTTGTGCGGCCCCCCGCTGTGTGGCCATGACCGTGCACACTGCAGAGAGGGGGCGTGAGAGCAGCGACAATTTCCGGTGGCTGGACGGCTCCTGCGCCCTACCGTTGGACGGATACGTCTGCCAGTACAACTACAAAGGAATGTGTCCACCCCTGGAGGAAGAGGGCAGTGGCCCAGCTGTTTACACCACCCCATTTCACCTGGTCAGCTCACTGCTCACCCATGTGCCCTATGGGTCTGTGGCTTCTCTACCCTGCCCTGAAGACGTCTCAGACCCAGATACTCGTGCTGAGCAGACGGTGCTGTGCATGGAGAGAGACGACGAGACAGTGGGCTGGTCCAGGGATACCCCACTTTGTGGGCCCGATTCAAGTCAACAGAACCAGGACTGGTGCAGCGGAGATCATGGCTGTGATCAGCACTGCCAGAACACAGACACGGACTACTACTGTTACTGCGATGAGGGCTTCATGCTGGACGAGGATGGTTACGGCTGCAAGCCCGATCCCCTGAGCTCAACTGACCTCCCCGAATTATCCGCTGACTCCGCCGGTCCCACTGACCAGCCCCATATCAAAGACATTTGTTTTGAGATGGGGTGTGAGTACAACTGTGTGGAGACGCAGCGGGGCCCTCGCTGCACATGCCCCCCCGGCTACCAAATGGCTTCAGATGGCCGCAAGTGTTCTGATGTAGACGAATGTCTGCAACAACCGTGCCCGCAACTCTGTGTCAACATCCCGGGCACCTTCCACTGCACCTGCCACTCCGGGTACCAGCAGGACGATGAAGGCGAGTGTGTGGACACAGACGAGTGCCTAGATGAGGGAAGCTGTGACGGCATTTGTGAAAACACAGTGGGCTCGTTCAAGTGCCTGTGTGACCCCGGGTACGAGGTGGGAAGTGACGGAGAGTGTTTGGACATAGATGAGTGTGAGGGAGAGGCGCCCTGCCAACAGCAGTGTGTCAACTACAAGGGAGGGTACCAGTGTTACTGTTATATCGGCTTTACACAGAATTCTGATGGGCTTACCTGCCGGCCGTCGCCTGAAGATGAAGAATATTCCACTCTGACCCCTGACCCCATCGACTTCGCTCACATACCTGCCTTGGACCCTGACCATGATACTCTCTGGTCCACCTCGTTCACTCCAGACCCAAACTTTGAAGCTGACACCAACTTTGATGTTGAATGGCTGACAGAAGCCCCTGAAGTGCTCACCCCTGACATGGCACATGGGTCAGACAATCACCTTAACCAATGGGATGCCCAATCACCTAAGCGGTATCAGACAGCCCCCTCTCCAACGCAAAAAGCAAACACAGGCAATGAAATCGATAATGAGGCTGAAACCAAGATACAAGGTAGAGAAGATAGTCATGGAGCTGCAAACGGGTCAGCCACTAGGGAGGGGTCAAAGGTTAACAGTGCAGAGGACGTCAGCGGCACAGCAGAGGCAGGGGAGGGGTCTGGGAAACGGAAGCATGACAAGAGCTGGCTCCTGGTGGCCCTGCTGGTACCTCTGTGTGTGTTCCTTGTAGTAATGCTGGCTCTGGGGATCGTCTACTGCACCAGCTGTGCTGTGGACAAGAGCCTGAGCTTCTCAGACTGCTATCGCTGGGTACTCCCTGCAACGCCCCCTGACAGAAGGGACGGCAAAACCCAAGCATGAACCCTAAATTAAACAACACACACACACACACACACACACACACACACACACACACACACACACACACACACACACACACACACTGATATGTGTTAAAGGCCCAGTTGTCTGTTAACATTTCTCTTATGGTGCTTCCATTTGGATAAAGTGCAGCTAACTGGTTCTGCATTCATCATGTAATAATTTCTGTTGCTGACCCATTGTAAATATTTCACTTTCTCATCATGTTTTTTTTTAGAATTCAATAAAACCAATAAAATGATGACATACTGTGTGTTTTTCTAAGCCAGTCTAGGTTATAACAAAAATGTGTTCAATCAAGGGACGAATGAAAGACTGTGGAAAGAGTGGTTATGGTTTTATGGTTCCATATGTACGGTGGATGACAGGGGCAAACGCAATACAACGGCCAAAAACACTTCCGTTGGGAGAAATGCACTGCACTTTCAAAAACAATGCAATTATGCTGTTCAACTTTGAACTATGTGTAATCAATAATATCTTCCGCTATGTCGGGTGTACGTCCCTTCTATGCTACAATAATTATGACCGGTTTACTATAAATGTCAGACAGATATAAAACGTTACGGCGTTAGCATGAGCTAACTTTAACAACGGGACGGATGCGGCGGAATCTCGGACTAAACACGGTGACAACTATTACAAATTACTTCCCATAACATGCCCGGATGAAAATATCATGCCCAGCTTTCAGATAGAGTATTATCGTGTAATTAATACAAGTTCATTGTTATTACCTGTTTTTCTTTTCTTCTTCTTCTTCTTGCGAACGCTCGGAGATGGAGAGGGAGGTGCGAACCTTTTGCCCCATGTCACGTGTAGGTGTAGCTGCCCTGTCATTGGTCCGTTAGGACCTGTTAGGACTTGGGTCGGGAAAGTGTTAGGACTTCGGAACTGAACTGTTAGGACTTTGTTAGGACTTTGTTAGGAACTGTTAGGAGTTGTTAGGAATTGGTAGGACTTGTGTTAGCAGTCCCGCACTTTAAAAAACAATGCAATTATAAAAACACAAATGTGCCAATACACATGCCAATGAAGAAACATCTTCACCAACTTCAAATCACATGCACAGCGCTTACAAACATCGCTGCATAAACGAAACGCTGCAAATAAAGAAATGCTGCAAATAAAGAAAAAAACACACACCCTCCCGAGCTTGAATGACACACAGAGACCAATCGAGGGCTTTGATTTATGATCGTATGGAAGTGGCCGTGTCGGCAGGCCACATCATGTACAGACGGTACAGACAGTCATCCTGTGTGAGGCAGACCCACATTTGCGCAGCGTTGCGTTCACAATACATAACAAAAAACGGATGAGGCCAGGCCAGGCCATCGGGAAACCTCCCGGTCCTCCCGATGGCCAGTCCGGGCCTGGTGTTTGTTCTATTTGCAGCGTTGTTTTACTTGCAGTTTTTTTATGCAGTGCTTTTTGTAAATGCTGTGCATGTGTTGTCACGTTGGTGAAGATTCTTCTTTTGCATGTGTTTTGGCACATTTAAGATTTTATATTTGCATCATTTTTGAAAATGTAGAGTGTTTTTCTCCTAATGAAAGTTAAATGCATTTGCCCCTGCTAGCCACCGTTCATATGTGTGTAATAACAAATCAAAGTATTCGGTGATTTTTCTACTCGACTCTAACTAGTGTTAATAAGAGGGATCGGGAGGGGTGTAGGGGGAGGAGACAGTCCAGCATAAGTTGCATTCTGTTGGCCAACACAACGTTTCACGGAGTTTCACCTTGTCACGGGTTCCGGTTGATAGGACCACTCTCCACATACTAATTATTACCGTTGAGCACCATGTATCGGACCCCGAAGATGCTAAGATGTCTTCGATTATGGAAAAGGACTCCGACGAGGATGGGATTCGAACCCACGCGTGCAGAGCACAATGGATTAGCAGTCCATCGCCTTAACCACTCGGCCAAAAATACCTCGTCCTATAGCACTCTGTCCATGCCATTACGGTAATTATTCACACCAGTATGCAATCTATGTGTATTTTCTCAGTTTCTTGCGCTTGTTTTAAGACATTGCCCTATTGTGTTATTTACGGTTATTCTTGGTTAGAAAATGCATGAAGCGCAACAAAACTCCGTCTCAGTTACTTTGTGATTGGTTAGTTATTCCATCAATCACATTGTACAACTTGTGATTGGACGAGGGGCGGGTCTTATGTTGAATGAACACAGGAAGTGTGATACAGCGTGAGACTGCAATTTGACGTTTGCTGGAGCTATTGAAGAATACAAGGTAACAAGATGTTGCATTTGTATCCATCTTTAAACCCATTGAAATGTACTAAATAGCAGCTTATAGTACTTATAGAAATTAGTCTGATAATCTTTGCGATTTACTGGTTTGCTTGCAGAAGTTTTGGCAGCGTGTTTAAATGCTCAAAGTACTCAGCAGCCGGTTTAGCATCGAGCTATGAGCTAACGGTAACGTTGATGTGGATAATATTTGCAGGTACCTACTAACATGTGGTTGTGTTGTCCAGGGCGGCTCATTTTGAATGGGCAGTAAAATATGTGTGGCTTTTAGTTTTAACGCTTCACTTCATGAATACGTTAATTGAAAGTGAAAGAGAGAACTAGCTTCAATAAGTATGACTCCTCTTGAATCACTGAGCCGGTTCAATCGAAAAGACCAAGGTTAAAATCCTCTGCTGCTGAAACTTTTCTGTAATTTGAATAAACTTTACCTTCGTCCACATGGCTTGAACTTTGGATTTACCTTTTTATACTTTTATACACCACTTTATTCTCTGCACGTTATACCCTTTGTCTCTTCTGAAATGTCTATGATAAAACAGAATTAGATGTTTAATCATTATAACATTGAGGAGGAACTAAATGGTGAACCATTTGGATAATACAATAATGACAATGACTGACTGTGATGGTCATTCATGACATTTGGTAGGCAAAACAATTGTCCATATTAATTGACTTCCTCTTCACCATTCTTTTCTTTCCCCCCCCTTCCCCTCCCCTCTCCTCATTCAGTTTTTCGTCGTCAGTGTCAAACCTCAGATTAAAGATGGTGGACTCCCAGTACTACCTCCCAAATGACATTGGTGTCTCTGCTCTTGACTGCACTGAGGCCTTTCGTCTGCTTTCAAATAAGGAGAAGATGTACTCCCACTACCTGTCACGCGCCGCCTGGTATGTTACCTATCCCAGGATGTAGCAAGTTGAAGTCAATCACCAATAAATTAAGACATTTCTCACCAAAAACATTTGCTGTCTTAGGTATGGAGGTCTGGCAGTGCTTCTGCAGACATCCCCAGAGTCGGCAAAAATCTTTGTCTTGCTGCAGAAGATCTTCAGGAAGCAGACGCCTGCACAGCTGGAACAGGTCGCCACGACAGCTGGACTCAGCCCTGAGGAGTACCAGGTACACAGTCCTGTTTCGCTGTTTCAGATTCTGTCTTCTTGACATACCCACGTACAAATGCAAACATGTGTTAAGATCATTATGTTGTACACAGGATGACAAATATGTTTATTGTATTTTTTTTATGTTTGCTATTAAGGCGTTCTTGGTATATGCAGCTGGTCTGTATGCCAACATGGGAAACTACAAGTCTTTTGGAGACACCAAGTTCATCCCGAATCTACCCAAGGTAAAAATCCACTTCAGCTGCTTTGAACACTAACAGGGTTTGGACACAAAAAAGAGGAATTCCCGTACAATCAAATGCAGTCAGATACAATGCCTCTTACTAATATGATCTCAAGAATTTTCACTGAGTTTTATCAACACCTGTCAAACTTCTGTATGTGCTGTGTTCACGCAGGACAAGCTGAAAGCTCTAGTGAAGGCCAGCCAGGCGTTCCAGGATCAGCCCGCTGAGATGGAGGCTCTGTGGGACAGCTGCTCGTGTCTCCTCTTCTCCCTGGAAGACAGACAGAAGCAGCTGGGGCTGGGCGACAAGGTGGGATCTTGCATAATTTAATGCCTGCGTTGGTCAATCATGTTGTTCGGACTGGAACATTTGGCAATGGTTTTCAGTTTGGCCTCTTTCAGTTGTCTGCTAAAATTGCGTATTGACCTTAAGAAAGCCATTGAACCAAAAACTTCTGGTGTGGTTCTTCAGGCGACCCGTATGTGAAAACACATAAAGCTCACAAAGTATTTTTCTTTTCTTCAGGGAATTACCACCTACTTCTCAGGAAACTGCTCTCTGGAGGATGCTGAGCTGGCTCAGAGGTTTCTTGACTCGAAAGTAAGCAATATTATTATCTCCAGCATTTTATGTTGTAATAATCTAACCCTTCTTTTATTATGTAACCCATTCTGTTTTTGAGACCTCTGTCTGTTATGTTTTTCTTAATATTCATTAACCATTGACCTCTGTTTTGATTGTGTATCCTGTATAAATTGTTTTTAGGCTCCTCCCTGTATTCTCTAGTCTGATTCTTAGCTGTGTTTTTGTGTTTCATCTCTAGAAACTGTCGGCTTACAACACCCGCCTGTTTAAGAGGGAAAAAGAAGGAAAAGCCTGCTATGAGGTGCGCCTGGCCTCAGCTGTGCAGAAAGGTCAGTCTGACATGGGAACCAGGATAAGATTTAATTATTTTTAGAACATTTCTCAATAATATTGCACTAGGGACAGATTTGTCATGCAGAATGTAATACGTATCACATGTTCATGTGGGCTACAGAGACATCACACTTGTGAACTCAAACCTGTCATAATACCCAAGAAATTGACGTGGAGAGATTTTTCATGTTACTAATGTTGTTAAAGATGCTACGCAGTCAGTATTAAACAAAGAAATTTCATTTTCTGCTTTACAGACTGCGCAGTGGAGGGAGAATGTGAGACAAGCTGCGGCAGCTTCAACTTTGAAGACAAAGAATTCACTGTGAAGAGAGGAGACTATGCTCCTCTCATGGAGAAGGTCTCCTTTTACCTCCAAAAAGCACAGGTGAGAGGCAGGGATACACTTTGATGTTGATGGGCAGGCTCTATTTTCTTCTACAGGAACAAAGTTGCCAAAATATGAAGTTGATAGAGCTATATACATTTTGATTTGGTGTTAGACATAAAACATGTTTTTGTTTAGTTGAGTTTAATTTAATGTCGGTAAGATCCCTGAAAATAAAAAAGATAGGAGCATAATGACAAACATGGCAAAATTATATCTTAAGTTACATTTCAAAAAGCATAACAATAATAGGAAAAAGAGGTACGAATGCACAGATAAATATCTTAATAACTGAATGTGTCGATAGCAAAACCGCTTATGAAATTCTTCTTCTGTTTACAAATAATTATCATAGGCTTATGCTGCCAATGAGAACCAGAGAAAGATGCTCGAAGAGTACGCTCGCAGCTTCACTTCAGGCTCAGTGGACGCCCATAAAGAAGGCTCCCGCTACTGGATCAAAGACAAGGGACCAATTGTCGAGAGGTGAGGAAGCCCACCGTACCACAGTTACATCAAATGAACAAAAAAAGAACCTTTTTACTTGTGATGACAAACCATGCTTACCTTAATAGCTATCTACGTTTTTTAAAGATCTGTTGCTTTCTCTAGTCATGCTGCACTTGCGTTATTGTAGCTAAACCTCACTTTCTCTGCTCCTTATTCTTCATTTCCCTCCTCTCTCAGTTATATAGGTTTCATAGAGAGCTACAGAGACCCATTCGGCTCCAGAGGAGAGTTTGAAGGTAAATACAATGGTGATCAGGAACAATGATTAACAAGTGTATTGTCATCAAAACCTTGATCATGTGTTAGAGCTTCTTTAAAGCAACTACTAGTATTAGCTGGATCTTTTACTGTAACTCCAGTACATAAGTTAATATAGTTTCATCCTAGCAGTGATTGCATTCATTTTAAAATGAACAAACTGTAAAGAAGGATGTTCAACACTTGGAATGACACAATATTGCAGTATTTGTTAGGGTTAGTGTTCTGATTATATACCTGTCTTCTCTCAAGATGTTTTCTTTTAATCACTTCATGATTGTGTGGCCCCCTTAGGTTTCATTGCTGTTGTGAACAAGGCGATGAGCGAGCGCTTTTCCAAACTGGTGAGCTCTGCAGAAGTCCTGCTCCCTGAGCTGCCTTGGCCGAAGGAGTTTGAGAAAGACACTTTCCTCAAACCCGACTTCACCTCTCTGGATGTCCTCACCTTCGCTGGCAGCGGAATACCCGCCGGCATCAACATCCCCAACTGTAAGTACACTGAGACATAGTTTACACTACACATAATGTCAAATAACACAGTTCAGTTAGTTTAAAATGTTGTGTTCTGTCATGCTGCATTATACTTAAAACAATGTTTTGTTTGCAGACGATGACATCAGACAGTCAGAGGGATTTAAAAACGTGTCTCTAGGCAACGTGCTTTCTGTAGCCTATGCTACTCAAAAAGAAAAACTCACCTTCCTGCAGGAGGAGGACAAGGTAACACACACACACCTGATTCTCTCACACACTATCTCCTGTGTCTCTCACACACTCCCTAATAAAGCATACTCGTGTGTGTTTTTGCATTAGGATTTGTTCATCAAGTGGAAAGGCCCATCCTTCGAGGTGCAGGTTGGACTTCATGAGCTGCTGGGCCATGGCAGTGGCAAGCTGTTGGTCCAGGTCAGTCAACATATTGAAGCTTTCTCATTTCTCGAATTCCCCTCCTCGACTCCGATCCTCGTGTCTTAGTCCCGCCCACAGGAGATGCGAGTGGAGGAGTCGAGGAGGGGGAGAGAGGAGTGGAAGCAGCAGGCGTTTAGAGAAATGAGAAATCCTCTCCTCTGAGCGGTCATTTTAAAGAGACGTCCATTAATGACGACAGGAGGCACAGCAGCCCTCTGTCTGATGGACAGATGTGTTCATGACGACTTATATATTTACTTTAATTAATTGACAGTGCGGTATAATGAGACAATAACAGGCTACAGATGCGGACATATACACCCACATATATATTTATATAAATATATACAATTTCAGAGTGGATATAGACTGGATATATCCCCCCCCCTCTCTGGTCGTTAAAATGGGGAATTGAAATTACCGGCCAAAAGTTTTATTTACAAGTATTCAAAGTAAGCAGAGGACACCAAACCAACTGAGACCTGTCTGTCCGCCGCATCTACGCACACACACACACACACACACACACACACACACACACACACACACACACACACACACACACACACACAGTACAACACCCACCTACACACTGTACCACACGCACCGACACACTGTACCACACGCACCTACACACTTCTGCTTTCTGCACGGACCTCACAGCTGTTCGCACTGTAAACATCGCGTCGCCATTCAAGCAGTTAATAAAATAATATCCAGCGGATGCATGCAGAGCTGTCATTGGTTAAGATAAGTTCGATAAACTCCATCTCTTCCCACAGGATGACGAGGGCAAATTCAACTTTGACAAGAGTAAGGTGACCAACCCAGAGACTGGAGAGCCGGTGAGTGTGCTTGTTAATTATTTTTTTTAACTGTGTTCATTTTGCAAAAAGAGACAAATTAACTGAAGGTGTGGGTGTATCTTTTCAGGTTACCAGTTGGTATCGTGGCAGTGAGACGTGGGACAGTAAATTCTCCACCATTGCTTCCTCTTATGAAGAATGCCGTGCCGAGTGTGTGGGACTCTACCTGTGTCTCATCAAGAAAGTGCTCAGGTATCTATCATGTTCTGCTTGTAATCTAAACTCATTGTGTTTTACTTTCATGGTTTGATTTCAGTTTAAAAGCAGGCAAATTAAATATAGTAACTGGACACTGATATAAGCCACTAAAGGAACACTTTCTATTTACATTCGATAGTTAGAAATTCACCATTTAAGATTGTATACTCAGAAATTGTTGTAGCCACTAAATTCTCTAAATCCCCAAGTGTCGTGAGCTGGAAAACATTTTGTAATTTTAAGAACAGTTATTTAATAACATTTAACAGAGATTTCAAGTTTGTTGAGCTTTTTAGTTGTATTGTATATTTGACTTGCTCTGTACAGGGGCTGCAATGCTATTTCTACCACACATAAAATCACACACTTCATTGATTACACATTCGTTAAAATAAAAAACTGAATTGTTTTATTTAGACTGGTTTGAATGAATATTGGAATGTTAACGTTATAATTATTATTATATTGTCTTTTTTGTACTTTTGACCTTGAGAGCCTTGTAAGGCGCCTTTTTATATATAAAATGTATTATTATTATTATTATTATTATTATTATTATATAAAGCTGTGGGAGGTCAGCATGCTTACCATTGCCTCTCTTTGTGTGTTCCAGTATCTTTGGCAATGAGGGCCAGGATGCGGAGGACGTGGTGTACATCAACTGGCTGAGCATGGTCCGAGCTGGACTGTTGGGCCTGGAGTTCTACACACCTGAGAGCAAGAGCTGGAGACAGGTAATCTGTCTGCTCACACACACACACACACACACACACACTCACACTCACACACTCACACACACACACACTCACTCTCTCACTCTTTACTTGGACTTATTTGCAGCTCGGTATATTCAATCATGGCTTTGTACATACATACTTTACTTTGATTTATATACAACTTCAGAGACACATAGATTTGGGGGAACAGTGTTTATAAGAGAAGTCATCATACAGACTATCAGGCATGTGTTTCTTACAACCTGACTGGCTCCGCTGTATGTGTCTGTGTTGTTTTATAATACAGCTTACACTAAGGCTGTCTCTGTTTATATGAGTGTCGGGACATGTATACAGTTTTGGTCACACGTATGCGTCTGTGTGTCTGAAGGCTCACATGCAGGCCCGTTTCGTGATCCTGCGCGTCCTGCTGGAGGCGGGGGAGGGGCTGGTGGGCCTGGAGGAGCTGACGGGGCCCGACGGCAAGCCCGACGCTCAGATCACACTCGACAGGAGCAAGATCCACACTGTGGGCAAGGACGCCATCCACAGGTTCCTCTGCAAACTGCAGGTAAACATACTGTATCCACACTTCTGGCTAGCTAATGCCCAGACAGCAGATCCTATGTAACAAGTCCAACAAATAAAAATAAAAATGCTATGAACAATATGCTGTAGATACATTGTGGTGATACACTATTGATGTATTAAAAATGTGCATTTGCAAAAGACAAATATAATTGCAATGCATTAAAGCACACTCCTCTATGGGCCTATTGGAGGTCAAAACTTCACATGGTAGAATAGGAAAATAAATCAGAAATAAGTTGAAAAACATAAAGTAATTTAATATTTATCAAAAGTTAAAAAATAAGTTCAATATGTTTTAGACTGTTGATCGGACAGAACAACCAATAATTAGATTTGGTTTTTGGGAAATTGTTATTAATTTGTTCTATAGACCAATCAATAAGTGGTTATATCAGAAAGAAATCTGCAAATTAATGAATAATGAAAAAAAAAAAAAATGTGACCCTTTTAGTAAAATATAAATTCAATTTCTCAATAACAACTTGCACTTATCAAATAACCAACGTATAACATTTGATGACTGAGTTGATTTCCCCCTCCTCTAAATCCAACCGTTTTGTAGGTGCTAAAGGCAACAGCCGATGTGGAAGGGGGCCGTGCTCTCTATGACGGATACTCCACGGTCAGCGAAGGCGGTCCTCACAACTTCATGCGCCTCCGGGAGACGGTCCTGCTGAGGAAGGAAGCTCGTAAGATGTTTGTCCAGGCCAACACCAACATCAATGGTAAGCACCTGCATCCCTGCCTGTAAGGGGGCTCTCTTGTGTTCGTTAACTGAGATGCACACATACAAACACTTCAGACTTTAGACTGTCATTTAATTTTTACTGAAACCTGGTTGACAAAACAGGAAGTGATCTCCAAAAAAGATGTAATGTTTAACCCCGTCAGTAAGTGTGCTCTTTAACATGCACGGATTGTACTCTTACTTAAAAATGTGTGAAAATTACACAAGTGAGTTTTAAGACATTTCTGTAGAATAGTTTGTGAAAGAGGTATGAAGTGGCCTGAATTCCCTTGTTTGTTAGTTTTGAATGAAGTTTAGATTTGCACTACTTCATTCATGTTTTGTTTTTTTATTGGTGATATACAGTGACAAAAAAGGTGACATGTAAACAGACGACATAAATAAGGAAGCCATGATGGACAGACATACAATCAATAACATGACAGAGCAGTTACAGTGATGTGTGATCAATAAGTAGAGATTATATCAATTCATTAATACTAGATGACAAGCCGTGGTAACCAATTAACACGATCAACAACGTTCGAAAGACATTGAAAATTGCATTAAAAATACATATATATTCTGTTCAAAATGTTGTGGAATTGCAAATGCAGCAAAGCAATTTTAGACCCTTGAAAGAGTTGTGTATTTAGATGGTGTTTGACTGTGTGGTTTCCAGGGGACAGCGTAGAGCTGAAGGAGTACGAAGGCAGCGCGGCAGGTTTGATCTGCTCCTTCACTGAGCGTTTCCAAGACGACGCCGAGAAGCTGGAGGCCGACCTTCTGGACCTGTGCAAAAAAGACTTCCCCTGCTGGTGTTGATGGATGGTCTGCTTCTAGAGCTTCAATAATACCAACTGTAATCCGTTTTTTTTTGTATTGTATGTAAACGCAATTTGAATCCTAATGGATGTCAAGCTAATTGGAAGACGCTTCTGAAGAGAACAAATTAAAGCTTCATAATATAAACTAAAGCCATAGGACAAGAACATATCTGCCAAAGACAACATCCACAGTTTCTAGCCACGACTCAGACCCAATGTCAGGTGCTTTCTTTGAATATATATATACGATCAAATACACATAAGAGCTGATACAACACCATCACTCTTTTTGATGCATTTAGGACACATTTTTCTAATCAGAAGTATTGTGAGCTGTCTATTAAACCAATGCTGCCTGACAATAAACATGTTCCTGGGAATAGACGTTTATGCAAGTGGCTGGAGGTAGGTTGCACTTTCTAAATGGCAAGGTTAAAATTGGGTTGAATAGTTTTTTTTGTCTAGCCTTGCTGTTGACAATTTCAAAGGTATTCACAGTTAAATTACAGATCAATGTTGACTTGACTGCAAAATCATTTTTTTTAAATGGTACCCGGTTGGTCATTGTGGATTACTTGAGTGTATAAAATATTGCTGTGTTTGGAAGGCCTAAAAAATGTGGAAATGTCGTGTTGAATCTGCACAAATAAAATGTGTTAGGTATGATGGTTTGCTGTATTTGTTTAATCAGAACCATCAGAGCTGATTTAATTTTTATGAAAGTCTAACCACGTCCTTTAAAAAAAAAAAAAAAAAAAACGTTGATAGCAAACAGATCAAATGAATTTAACGTTTATGGATTAGCTAACACAAGAAGGTCTGGAATGAAGTGTCATGTCTGAAATCTCTCCAGAAAATAGTGATATCGGGAAATAAATGGCTTCCTTTGGAGTAGGAAATCAGTCAAACAAATTGGTATGCTTTAGAAAATGTTAGAGCACAATTATGTATACATAACTTCCAGTTAAAACATGTATAACTACAGGGGTCATCAAGTCTTATTCACTCAAAAACATTTAATTTTACGCGGTGCTTACGTTATATAATCGTTAAAAGTCTAAAATATTTGTTTGCTAGAGGCTTGTTCCATTTTCCTGTTTGGGGGGTAAGTGAGGTGGAGTCTCTGCTGCCCCCTCGAGACTGGTGGAGTAACTGCAGCTGTCTGTGTCATTTAGAGAAGCAGCTTTCATCTGTAAAACCAGATCCTTTCCCTCGTCCTCCATCTTTTTGTGCTGTTCCTGATTTGTCTCATCTTCATCCATATTTTCATTTTCACCTGCCTCCCCCTCCTCTGCTTTTCTCTCTAGTTTTTGCTGATGAAGTCTTAAAATAGTAGCAGGTATATGATAGGCCTCCTCCGCCAGCTGAGGGAAGGAGTTTGAGGGAGAGACTTTAGGGGAAAGAGATGGGGACTGGTAAGGTGAAAGAGAGGGTGAAGCGCTGGGTGAGTCATAGGGAGAGATTGAGAAGGGAGCCTTGGGAGAAAGAGATGGGGATTGATAAGGTGAGAGGGAGGGAGAAGCGCCGGGATATTCATGAAGCGAGAAGGACGAAGATGCTTTGAGGGGAAGTGGAGGCACCATTGGATTGGATGGGGAGAGGTAGGGTGATAGTGATGGAGAATGAGAGAAATTGATCATTGGAGACGGCTGCATGTAGTCTGAGTCTTCTGGAAGATCCTCTATCACCGATGGTAGCTGAGCTGTGACTCCATCTTCACTTTGGTCTGGTTCCACCTGTGTTTGGCCCTGCTGAGGGGCGTCCTGACTCGGTTTATCTTGTAAAAGTGATCCATTGGGATCTGCCATACCTTGTGTGTGTTTCTGGGCTTTACATTTTCGTTTGGTTTTGGGCATTAGAGGTGGTGGAGGTGGACGGGCAAGCGGGGGTGACAGCAGGGTCGACGACTCTGTGGAAATTCGAATATTGAGGCTGCGTTTGAACATGCGCCGTCTACACAAAGCATTCTGGGACTGCAGGAAAAGGGGGTTGACGAAACAGAGAGCGCCCTGGCCAGAGCCGTAGTCCAGCTCTACGGGGCTGCGAGTCGTGATTGGACAGAACTCATGGAACAGCGTGGGATTGGATACTGATTGTTTGCTGGCGCTGTCTGGTTTAGTGCTGGTCTTGTCTGAGTCGGGCTGGAGAGCTGCATCAGGCTGAGCTGCAGAGGCTGTCTGAGGGGCCGCAGCAGGAGGGACAGGGGTCCCAGGGTCCTCTTTCACCTTCTTCTGGGGCTTAGGGGCCTCCCGTGGCCCTCTGACATTTAGGTGGGAGTTCCAGAATTCTATAAAATAATATATATTTATTGTCATTATAGTTTTTTGGTTTAATTGCTTTGTGCATATACTTAAAATATAAAATGCAATAAAAAAAAAATATATATATAACATCTTGACTTTGAAACCTTATTCTAAAAATGGTGCCAGCCAAGAGAATGCAATTGTACATTTTGTGGCACTGCTGTATATACTAAAACTTAATTTCAACAACTTTCTTAGTGTGCTCATTTGTCCTTTAGTGGACAAAAGGACAAAATACACAAATGGTATGTTTATTAATGCTTTAGTTCATGTTTGTTACCCAGCTGCTTTGAGGAAATTATAATATTGTGTGCAGTATGTGTATTTGATTCTGATATTGCAAGAAATGCTGAAAGGAAACAAGTAGTTGTGTTCACCAACCTATTCCCATATGGGAGATGGACTCCAGCTCTTTGTGGGATGATGCTTTTGCAATTGCTTCTGGAAGCTCCAGAGGAAAGCGTAATACATCTCTGATACACAGATAGTACATATTTATTAAACATTGTTGCAGGACAATAAATATTGACAGAGACCAACGCACAGATGAAATGAGGAATACAAGGAAAAAGAGAATGAGGAAGAAAAAATGTTACCTGCTGGCACAGTAGAAGGAAACGAGTCTTGGGAGATCTGGAAAGCTGATGCCTGAAGTCTCCAGAGACAGAGCTGAGAGGAACATTTAAGGGGATTTTTAGAGGGGCAGAACATTATTTGAATGTAGCCATGTGTAAATACTGCGTAACAATGAAGAAAAACTGTGTTAAAGGATCAAACTAGAAGCCTTTCAATTTGATTTATCATACTTTCAATGTTTTATTGAGTTCCTGAATTCCAGGGACTTGCAGGAGGCTAGGCCTAGTTAAATACAAAAATGTTCACTTTTGTAACTGTGAACATTTGTAAATACATAAGCCCTTCTTTAACCAGAGCAAAGTAGTATCTTATTTCATGCAATAATAAAACGATACATGACAACTAGCTTATTCAACCCGAAACATTCTTGACATTTTAGCATACAGGTGAACTACTAAATTGTGTTTCAAAGAAGGGCCCCAGTCTTGACGGCTACGTGGTTGGGGTGACCTACTATTACTGGAGTCTTGCTGCCTGATGCCAAACTGCTGGACGAAGGATGGCACACTATCATCCGTCAGGCGGATGCACAGCACGTTTCTTTGGGAAGTTCGAGACTTGCGCACCAGGAAGGTCTGCAGGAAAACACAAGTGCATGCAAATGGTGAGCGTGTATGTGGGCACATGGTGTATTTCTGTGGTTTTAAGTGTGTGTAGCACTGACCCCAGGGGGCTCCCTCTGCAGTATGTGCAGAGCGGTAGCAGGGTTGATGGACAGCTGAAACCACACAGGAACTGTGAGAAGGAGCCGGTCCAGAACACTGATGCTTTTCAGAGAGGCCCTTCCTCTTTGAAGGGCCAATAACTTGTGCTCAGAATGTTGAGCAGGCTCCGGGAAATCATACAGCGGTTCTTCTTGTGCCATCTAAACGCACACAAAAAAAACACCCATGTTTGGGTATTAATTGTCCTGCTACTGAATGTGGGAATATGCACCCACACGTGTATGCATGGTGGTTATTATCTCTCCCTGTGGCTCACATTCACAATGGGAAGATGGGTGGGATGCCTTCACACACACACACACACACACACACACACACACACACACACACACACACACACACACACACACCTGCGTAATAAATCTGCCTGGATTTGGACAGCAAGTCCAGACTTGGTAAAGTTCAGCAGCTCAGACAGAGCTTAAATAAAACAGGAAGCTACATGAAACAAACTTTTAAAATATACACACACAAATGCCAATGACGACGTAACATACAATATCTTTAAACATTTGTTTTTAGAGTAGCAGGGATATTGTTGAAGAGAATACCTCAGGAGGTAGTCTATCATTTGCGTTTTGTTTCACTATTCAAGTCTCACCCCATGCAGCCTACATGTTAACATCTGTCTAGATCCGCAGCACACATTCCTGTAAAACTGCACATTTCCTCTCAAAACTGTGATTTACAAACAGTCTTCCGGCTTCACCTATAATTGCACAACTTGTGTGTACTAGAGTGTAATTTTAATATCGCCAGGCTCGTTTTTTTTTTACCTCGTTTCCCCGATCGTTATTTTCATTCGATCCGGATCCACTTTATGTTGGCATGCTGGTTTTATTCTTCCATTCCATTAACTTCACTACGGTGAAAACTTCTCTTCCACTTTGGCCTGTCATGACGTGTGTTCTTCTCAGATGCGGAGATGTCTCTCTCCGGCTCCTCCTCCCCTCCCACCTGATCACACCTGGAAACAAACATGTGACCATGCAGGCTATGAATGGGCCACAGCTACACTCACGTGCACGAGGCTGTATTATAGGTGGCCTATTGTAGTCATGCTTAAGGACTAGCAGGAGTTTAATTAAGGTGAAAACCTACTAAAAATCATATTTGTAAAAATAACTTGTTAAGCTTAGTACAAGTAGCAAATATCATATTGTAGAAAAACAAGTCATGCATTCTCAATGTTAATTAAGTAACATAACACACTATATTACCATATATTATATTTAAAGACAAGTAAAGATAATCATTATGCAAAATGTTAAGCTTCATTACAATATTGGATAGAGTTTGACTATTGGTTGAATAACTTTGCATAGGGTATAATTATGTATTAAACACAATTTAATTACACTTGTTTGCCTATTTCTTTAGGTATAGCCTATTGTGTGTTGAATTGTTAGACGCTGTAGCTTCTGTGTAGGCTATATGACAAATTAAGCCTTTGAATCAAGGTTGCAGTTACTTAAAGATTTGGCTTTATGTTTCTAGTTGACTTGTGAATTCCTCTTTTGGGATCCCTTTATCAATTTCAATTCAATTCAATTCAATAGCTTTATTAGCATGACCATAGTTACATACAGTATTGCCAAAGCTTTGTATAGTTGCAACATCTATACAAAAATGCACACAAATAAACAAATACACAGTTATAAACAAACTGCTAAGAACATGTTTTGTTTTTTCTTATTTTTACAAGGAATACAGATTCATTTCATTCATATAATACATTAATACAAAATAGAATATGATATATATACATAAGATATAAGATGTGAGACCTGGTGTATCTGCTCATTCCGATTCCCTCAAACTGTGGCAGGCAGAGACAAACTGTCCTGCAACAATGCAGCTCTCTTTATATTCCCCGAGAAGTATTTTTAGTTTTTCATTTTCATTTTTAAATATTTGAGGATGCTTATGATTGAGTTTTGGGAAGAATTGTTTCCACAGCAGTTCCTCCACATTTATCATTACGATTGTACCCAATGAACTGTAACCTATTTCATATTTTACTTAAGTACAGTACTTGAGTAAATCTACTAAGCAACTTTACACTACTGTTCATGAGTTAATGGTATTTATAGTCTTAAATAAGTAGTTTTACTTCTAGGCTAAGGCTTCATCCCCATCTTGCGCAAACCTGATGAAACTGCGCCCTAATGGCTGCCAGCGCACCTAAAGAAACCGGAGCCGGAAGTGACGTTTGAAATAGCGGTTAGAGCTCCAGCGCCGCGTTGGGTAAGAATTCTATTTTTAATGCTATGCTAGCATAATTATGAAAATGTAAAATGTAAGACGCACAATGATTAATGGTATTTAAAACACTTTACGATGGATCACACCGATGATTGAGCTCTAGCTTAGACAATCGTTTTCAATCACTATGATAGAATCACTACGTTAGCATTAGCTAGCTTAGCGTAGCTACATCGCCAATGTTTGCTTTTCACAAAATGGCCAGCCGTGTCCGTAGTTTTTAGCAAACTGTTGGTCTTGTACAGAAGCTTACATCTTACAATAAAACCAATTATGGGTATTTATTGTAACATAAGCTGTGCTATCGAACAGAACAACTATACAGACATATTTTAACCTAATTGGAGGAGATTTCGCCGCAGCTTTATTAGCCTAACGTTTGTTAATATTAACCGGTAAGCTAACGTCAATTAGCTATTTACCAGATTGCACCATAGTAAATCAAAGCTAACCGAATTTGGCAGTATCACTTCAGCCAAATTAACTTAACTATGATCAAAATGCAATACTGCTGTTGAGATTCACTAAGCCTTAGTGGTGTAAAGTAAATGCATTTACACAGTACACTACTTTTATTCAATTATAGTACTTTACTTGAGTATTTACATGATTTGCTACTTTGAACTTCTACCCCACTACAATTCAGAGGTTAATCATATACTTTTTCTCCACAACATTTATTTTGTACCTTTAGTTATTTTGCAAATGTTGATTAATAATTATTGCATCAGTAATTTTAATCAAAACGTACTATATAATTGTCTTAAATGGGCCAATCTGCATAATGATTACTTTCACTGTTGATACTTTGTGTATGTTTTGATGCTAATACTTTTGTACTTTGACTTTTGAGTAACATTTCTAATGCAGAACTTTTACTAGAAACAGAGTATTCCCATACTGTGGTATTACTACTTTTACTTAGGTACAAGATACGAGTACTTCTTTCACCTCTGCTAAGCCTGAACAATTACTGCTACCCTAAGTATCACATTTAACCAAAGCCTGCTGCTGTGTTATTATTTTCTTTCTTACAGATGCCTTGTTGATACAGAGATGAGCGGTGACAATGTGAAGTTGTTTGTGGGGAACCTTCCTTTAGATGCAACTCACGACGAGCTGACCAAGCTTTTTTCTCCGTTTGGAGAGATCAACACCTGCTCTTTGCTCAGACAGTATGCCTTCGTTACCCTGAAGGGAGAGGGGGCAGCAGACAGGTATTTAACTTTTCATTACCATTACTAGATATAAGTCAATAAATGCTACTTTAGAAATGCTCTTGCGTGGTCCGGGGTAAAAAAAAGTGAATAATTGTTAAGGTAAGTATAGACATTGGTTTAAGTAACAATTTGATACATCATTTTTCAAGTAAAGTATAAAATCCTTAGTAATATAATATTAACAACAGCTAAAATGTCTGCAGTACTACTCTTACTGTCATCGGCTGATCACCTGATGACACAAACATATGACTTTCTCTTATTCTCACAGGGCCATACGAAATCTTGATGGCAAAGAGTACAGGGGGCGGCCCTTGGTGGTCGAGGAGTCACGTGCACGTCCACCCAACTCCACCAAAGTGTTTGTGGGGAACCTCGCTGCAACATGTTCAGCAGATGACCTGCACGGGTTGTTCTCAACCTACGGAAGAGTACTAGACTGTGACAAAGTTAAAGGTGAGTTACAGTGCATATCACTAATACTGCAGGGGTATTCATGAAAAGCTTGAGCAATGATGTTGTAGAAGAAGAATTTGTTATGTTTTAAAATGAGCTGGTTTGCATTCGTACTGTGGAATGTAACTCTAGTATGCAGATTATCTTGTCAGAATACAGTTTTGCATCTAGATGGTTGTAAGTTAAAAGTTTGTAGTTAATAATGCAAAAAAGACACAATACAAATAAGGGTTTTCTTTTAAATCATTTTCTAATGCTACCTGACCGCCCTGCTCTGTGTATTCTCTACAGCCAGATTATGCTCAAATGTTGGCTATGCATTTGTGCACATGGAGAGGAAGGAGGAGGCGCTGGTAGCTATTGAAGGACTCAACGGGACCAATTACAAGGGCCGTCAGTTGGCTGTAGAACTGTCCAAAGCCCAACCTTTGGTCAACCAGCTTGCAATGGCTGGAAATAACTACGGTGGAACAGGTAGAGATGAAGGATCCATTTGTTTTCAAGTGTTTTGCATACATTGAAATGCTTAAAACATCCCATATCCTCTTGTCCTCTCATCTTTTGCGCTCCCTTTTCCTTGCAGGCAGGGACGGTCTTCTTCCACGACCGCCTCCATCACTAGAGCACCACCAGAGTCAAGCAGCTGTTCTAGCAGCAGCTGCAGCAGCCGCAGCTGGACTCCCAATACAAGTACGTTTATTCTCTAGTAGAGAAACCTCTCTCAAAAACATAAAACTTATGACCTCTGAAAACTGCCCTCGAGGTCTTTCTTAGATTACTTGTTTCAACTTGATCAACAACATCGACATTTTTCATTATTGTTGTGTTTTTAAGTTTAGATAAATTAGGTTTAAGTACATTTTTAATGCTTTATTTTTAATTGTTGACCGTTTTCATCTTTTTTTGCAGGTTCAACAAAGTGTCCATAACTCATTCTACAACACCACAACCTTTGACCCCACCTACGCTGCCTTGAAGGGCATTACCAGCGCTAACGGTGCAGATGGGGTGATATATGGTGCTCTTGCCAGCCAGGTATATGGAACTGTTGCGGACCAGGTGTACAAAGATATGTCCAATCACAATTCTGCTGCCGTAGCCCCTGTTACAGAAGCAGACTCACAGAACGGGCCAGACCCCACAACGCTTTTCGAGGCAGCGAGAGCCAAGTTCTTTCAGGAGGGACAGAAGGTATATTTACATTTATTTGAGAATAAAGTAAAATCTTCTTCTCTTTATATATCTTTGTGTTGTACCTTTACAGTTTCATGAATATTCTGTTTTTAATATAGGTTCTGGCAGAGCAGCAGATAGGGAGAAAGGGAGCAGAGAATGAGCGGGACCGCAGCCCAATCAGAGGAAATCGAGCCCCCCTTCTCCCAGACCCCGTCCCTGGTTCCTTCGGTCAGATACGACAGAAGCGCCGCGCCCTGCTGCCGACCCCCCCCGGAGCCCCTGAAGAGTCCCCGGCTGCCACCAACACCCCTGAAGGGTCAGATCCTGTAGCTAGGTACCCATAACACATTTTGATAAAGGAATGAGGCAGAAGAAACATTAGCATAAATAATCCTGCGTCTACGTGCATGTACAATAACTACAATAGTTAAGTAATGTAACACTGATAAATAAAATTGATCCTCCCTATCAATACAGTATAGATAGAGCTGGTGGATTTGTGCTCGTGAGGAAACTAAAGCTGTAAAATAAGTGTAAGAGCTCCCAATAGGGTATTGTCATTTCATTTAAAATAAATTATTTAATTTGGACTATATAGCCTTGTTTTAAATGCAAAAAATGTAGCAAATATATCACAATTCATACTATGTTACCTCTCTTTTGAAAGAAGAGTTTGAAAATATAAATGATGGCTCTCGGTAACAATAATGGTGGGCAGGAAAAAAAGCTTAATAACAAACCTAGTTTGTAGAATCGTACCAAGTGCAAAGGCTTTTACAAAAACATAAAAACATGCATTCTGTCTTTTATTAATTTGATGATGGGAGTTTTGTCTAACTTTTTTATTGTTTTCCTTTCTTCTTCTTCTTCCTCACCTCTTTAACTATAAACTACAGGTCGTACGAAGAGTACTACCAGCAACTGCATCAGTACCAACAGTATCAGCAGTACCAGCAGCAGCAACAGTACCAGTACCTCCAGTATGCCTACACCAACCCTCCTCCTCCTCCTCCACCTCCACCGGCCAACACACAGGCCTCCACCACAGCCCCTGCACCCCCAGGGACGTACTCTGCGCCCCCAACGTACGCGGCACCGGGGGCCTACCCACCGCCGGGAACATATGACGCGTCGGGAGGTTACGCTGCCCCCCCAGGGAGCTATGACGCGTCTGGAGGCTACGGGGCACCGGGAGCTTACGGCCCACCAGGAGCTTACGCTGCAGCGGGAAGCTACTCCACATCCACACCGTATGAGCAGACAGCCGCACACGGGCAACCCATGCCCCAGCGCCATGATTACCCTTACCACACGCCAGAACCCCCTTATCGATAGTCCCACTCCCATACACTCCTTCCACACTGCAGATGTGTGTGTGTGTGCGTGTGTGTGTGCATGTGTATCTACATAAGGGACAGTTTAAAAAGGAAAATCAGAGAGGGAGCAAGGTTGTAATTCAGATCTAAAGCATTTTCTCCATCGTTTCTCTAGTTGGTCTGTCAGTTGATTGGTTGTGTGGTTAACTTACAGAGGGACAGCTTATATTTGAACATTGCCAAGCGATCGGGTTGTGTGAGAGGCTATAGAGGCACAGTTGGTTTCTTGTTGGATGTTTAAGAAGCTTAAGCGTTTCATGGGGCAAAGTGGAGTCCAGGGTAGATCTCGTTGGAGAAGCTTTTTTGTTTGTACAGAATCGAGGCCTTTAATATAATTTACACAAAAATGTACACCAAAAAGGGGTTCATGGAAAAGCAGTCCATAAGCCATGCAAAGTCATAGTTTCAAGTAGGGAAAACACTGATAAATTGTTATGGAGAATGTTTGTCTTTTAGTTTCAGGCTGGTTTCACAGTAAGGACAGGTTTAGTGCTCGTCAAGCAATCCCAAGTAAAGATGTTGAATTTTTTATTTTAGGTCATGGAAATCTTCATAAATATCCAAAACTCTTAAATTGACAAATGAAATTGATTGTTCAAAAGTCACAAAGAGTCTTGTGCAACCCTTGATGATTTTGTGATTGCATTTAGCCCGCTGGCATTGAAAGTCTTCTTGAGGCTTCGAGTGTGTGCCGAGAGGTTACAGAGAGGCCGAGAGGTTACAGATTACATTTGCAGTCAACACAGGCCTTCCTTTTTAATTGGCACAGTTTGCCTGACTTAAGATACATATAACCACTCCAGTTATTCTTGTGAAGCTTTGTAGGTACAAGAGATGGCAAAGTTTGACCCTGACTTTGACAACTACAAGATAAAAATACTTTGGATGTAACAATTTCAGCGATTGACATAACCTGGGTGTTCTCTTGGATAGGTTTTCCACAGTTTAGGCCTAGCCCAGGCTTTTTAGAAGTCTACACACACTCAGGAGTTAAATACATGTATCCTGTCAGGGTTTGACACCAAAACATTGGAAAATAATATCTAAATATCTTTCTAGTCCTTAACATTATTTGCTTTCCATGTCAGTTTTGTGTAGACATGTTACTGGAGCATCATGGGAGAAAAGAAAGCCCAGTGCATGCATGTTTCTCTTTATTCAGGTAATACTCAGTTAAACCCACACACGAGGCATTGTGTTCAGTACATATTTAAATATGTAAAGGCTAGAATTACAGCAAGCTTTGATTGGCTGATGATGGATATGAGCATTATCAATTCTGTAATTCCTGATTGGTTTATAACTTTTAATGTTATTAGCTTTTTTTCCAATATCATCAGCTTAGTAGTTTTCATACATGGAAATTCACAATTTGGTACTTTTGTAAATACATACAACTTTGTTTTAAGTGGAAGGGGTAAAGCCAACTAGCATTTGGTTGATTGGTAAGAATATTGACTATTTATATTTGAGATAAAATGATTGTATTTCTAAACCAGTTGGAATAGTGAATAGACGTGGTGAAGGAAGACAGTTGAGTTGTATTTGTCTGTTTAAAAAGGACTGAAACATAAAGCATTACGGTTATCCGATTACAGTCCTGATTGGTATTCGACCATTGTGGCTTGTGAGTGTATAACTAATTACGCTCCAAGATCAGACATTGCATACAATTAGAAATGATTTGATACTCCTATAATGCGTTGTCATGTTGCTGAAGTGAATCGTGTGGGTTATTGACAGAGTGGACAGTGTTGGTGCTGCAGGTAAACACAAGGGTTGTTTTGGATTTAGTAAAGGCCGCTGATTTTACTGAGCAGCAGTGAGAAGGGGCCGCTTCCCTTTCCCTTTCCCCCTTCTGATCTCACCAGAAACACACACCTCATTTTGAAACTAGGAGTACTGGCTTTCTCTGCGTTCTTACCACACTACACAACTTCACACTTGTATTTAGATGCATTTAAAATGGGTTCATTGCATTTTACTCATGTAAAGCAGGCCACACGTGCAAATGATACTAATGCACACCTGATTGCAGCTGTATGTCATGTGACTTAGAGTAGAACGGTTTGTGATTGTACCACACACTCATTTCTTTATCGCCACCTGACTTGGTAGTGCTGTGTTAGGTTTAAGTGACACATAGCCTCTCTAAATTTCCACATAATTCCACCTTCTCCATGTGAACTGTTAGTTGCATGCCTTGTTGTTGCTGCTGCTCCAGCCACCTTCTTCCTCTTGCTGATTATTGCAGCTAGAGTGGGAGGGAGCCAAACTGAGCCCTTGCCCCGGACGTACGCCACACGCAGCTGTAGCGTGGGATGGGAAAAACAGCAGCGTTAGGCCTGAAACTGCTGTGGACGATGGGGTGTCCCCCCACTAAGGTAAACACTCAGACCACACACTCCTGTCCCTCCCCAAAAACACACAAACACACATACACACATACAGAAACATCTTTGTCCATACTTCTTTTACCTTGCCTGTCTTCAGGGAGTTTTATTTGTCAGGATTTCAGATTTTTGGAAATGGATCTCCCCCATCCTTTTTTAATAGGAGATTACCTTTTTTCCTGCTTTTGATATCCCTGATCATATCCCTGCTTTAGGATACTATGCTCATACATTCCTGCTCCCGACATACTGACCGCTCACACACAGCAGATTTGGAGGACACGTTAACCATCTTTTAGTCTAAATCTGAAGCAGGCATGTCGTCAGTACATCCTGAATATAACAGCCTGTCATTGAACTACCAGGCAATCACAGCCAGAGCTGGACGTGGGACATTTAGGTAGGATGGGTTGTTTTAGTTTTTGTAAATGTGCCCCTGCGGCCACTTTGGGGTTAAGTGCCTTGCGTAAGAGCACATAGGTAAGCCCTTCATTTCAGAGTTGAATAACCTGGCTCAGGATCGGTTGCTGGTTCAACGCTCAACTCCCCCCTCTCCCCTAAAACAACGATTTTTGATGCCACATTCAACTTGTATGAATGACAATGAACACAGATATTATCATTTTGTTTTAAATTACATTTTGTCCTTATGTTCTTGGAAATGTTTAATTATCAATAAATACATTTGAACTAAATTGTAGCCTCTCCGTGTGAATATTTAATGGATTAGTGCGTGGTTACCAGCTTATTCAAGTATTTTAACTTTTTTAAGTGTTTCTTGAATAGTCACCAAATAACTATAAGAGCTCAGCATCAGATGACGTTTTATTCCATTTTCTTCCAAAAACATCAACCTATGCTTTTAAAATAAAAAACAATAATTTGATAACAATCCAAACTTGTTGGTAATTCAATCACTTTGATATACAAAAAGAAAAAGAGAAGAAATTCAAGAAATGGAACCTCCCTCCCTGCTAACAACATTTTCATGGACACTGCTGAGTTTCATGCCCTCAACAATCAACAGTTCACAGATGGACACTAGAGTACAGGATGTGCGTAGTGAACGCAGTATACACAATACTGAGGGTATACTGAGGTTATGTGGTGAGTGTGAAACTGCATAGACATCATGTGCCTTTCCCTGGCCAAACAACACAGAAATGCAGTTTCTGCTCTGATGACAAGCAATTCTGGTTTCCAGACGCCGGATTTTCATTGAAGTAGCTTCAGTGTCTATATTTTGGCGTTCCCTGTTGAGCATCTGCAAATACTTGAGCCAGTCGATAAGGTAATGAGAGTCTATGATGGAAAACACTATAAGCAACCCAATGAAGTTTAGCTACAAGGTCCTTAATGTACAACTAGAGTGTAGTGTAAGTATTGTGTGCGCTGTAGATTGTGGAGTGGAAAACTCCTTTTGAGTCCTTTTGATCACAGATAATTTAAGGGAGAAAATGTACTTTCTCTAACATACTCACCTGTTTAAGCTAATCTTCTTAAAATATGCTTTAAGGGAATCCAACCCCAGATTAAATATTACAGTTTCTGTCTCTCCCTAATGCTGTTTCCTTTACATTAATTTAGCAGGGGTGAAAATGTAAGGATAATTAAAGTAGTGCCTGTGTGTTGGCCGAGGTATACAGACTCGTAACTGACAGACATTTGGGATTTTGTACCCATCTGGAATTGGGTTAGAAACCATGTCATAGATCTCATAAACAAGGTCTGTACACTTTAACCTGGTTTGCTAAAATACTCTCAAAAATAAAGCTGAAGCTATCTGTGAATCCAAGAATGGTATCAGGAAACCAGTCCGTGCTTTCAGAGGATGACTGGGAAAGAATAAGTCCAGTTGATGGCGACAGACAGGACAAGACTGGGCAAACACGTTAAAAACACCACACAATGTTGACCAGACCAAACACATAGTACAGTACTTAGACTTTCAATCACAACCTCCAGTGATGCTGCTGGCATAGTATGAAAAAGGAGCGAGCATTCAAACACACGTATTGAAAATAGCAACGCTTTAATAAAGAGCGATTTTACAAGACTGCAATGTCTAGCTAGCTAGGTGATAACTGGCATTGACATCCATGGTGTTTTACAAAGATGCAGTTATGGTAACTGGGTTTGAAGTTTGATGGGTTACTTGCAAGTTGCATTTCTGCATGCGACGCAGCCTTCAAACAGTTACAGACCCTACATTGTAAAACAGTTGATTATGAATGTCAATAAACGTTCATGTCGAGAGGTAAGTAAAAAATCTCATGGAGAAATTTCCTTAACGTTTTCCAAACACACCGGTAAGTGAGAGTTCACACAATGGTCATGCTTTTACCGGGCACACAAGCCAATAAAAAGACGACACTTAATCATGCAAAAAAGACAGTTTCTTTGTCTCTGAAAATAAAAGAACAAAATCCTTTTGAGTTCTGATATCATCCATCCGTAGTGACCTTGAATAAGAAGAAGCTGCGCTTTGATGATGACTTTGGTGCAAAAAAATGTTCCTGTTTCGAAGAGGACAGACCCTGTCCTGTCCACTTCCTCGATGAAGACACTCTTGGTATAGACCAGTTGTGATAGTTTACCCTCGACCCCCCCCCTCCCACTGACCCCCACCCCCTTCCTCCTCAAGATGGACACAAACATCACAAACATCAAAACCCACCCCCCACCCATCCCTGGATGATGACACCTTCAAAATACAACCATTCAAACACAGATACAGCAATAAATTGTCCAACGTACAGTACGTCATCCAATGGGGCTTCGATCACTTTACAGAGAGAGCACGTCTAAAAACACATGAACGCATTACCTATATACAGAGGACACAGTAACAGTCAGAGGTTGGCCCAGGATGGATCGAGCTGCATCGTGGGAGTGAAGTGCACAATGAAAGAGCATTCAGCTGACAGAGAGAGACAAACCATCGGGACAAGGAGTAATGGAGGGAAGTGAAACAACGTTTTTTCAAATGACATATCCAAATGTCAGCTGGCCTCTTGTTGAGAAACTTCAGAGAATATCTGCCTGCTTGGTGACGATTTCTAACACTGAATTCTCTGCTGGTATAAGAGTGGCAACTCAAACGCTAGCAGTTACAGATCAAGGATGAACTGTAACAATACACCACCATACCGACACAATTCTCTGACAATTTATGTGAGAAATCACAAGTATGTGATGCTCTCTGGGGAGTGATGCCTCAGATTTACTTTGAGATTCAAGGTCTGATGACTTGAGGGGCTTTTTCTTGCATTTTTGCAGCAGATGAGTGATCCTTGGTGCCACCTTAATTTGATGGTGGGTTGAACAGACTGAGACACGGTCACAACAACACTCATTGCTAAGTTAGTACACACTACCAGCTGACTAGAGACCTTTCCTCTCTAACTGAGAAACATGACCCTGTTAATCTATATGGGAAGGCATGTGCACATAAACACACATACAGTACATGTACATAGAACAGACAGAATCAATAGAAAACAACTTCATCCCCAATCGATTATTGCCCCTTTCAACTGTACATCCCAGCAATGGTTTTAGGTTTTTGTGCAGCAGAGCGTTGTCCCCTCTTTGAAGGTTTGTGCTATATATGTATTTATATCGTCTGTCTGTGGGTCTAACTTGACCTTGGATCTGCCAGAATAACAACATTAACATTTAACGTCTCATTAAACCCTAACGTCTCTGGCTGTCTGAATTAACCAGTTTGTCGTCACTGCAGGCATTACTAGGGTCATGATCGACAGACGTTACCCTCAGTCGCTTTCCCGCAGTCTCGTCCTCATTCGATTCGTCCAACTGACCTCTAGCTGTTCAGTCCATAAATGTTAACACTACATTAACAAGCCCCTCTCTGTGGTAGCAGAGCTTTCAATTCCTCCAGGTGGAGGTGAGACATCTGCTCCTCTAATAACCCTTATCCAGTTTTTCTGGAGTGTAAATGACTTCACAAGAGACTAATTTTGAACAGGACAAATGCTCAGGACAGGGAGGAAATCATAGAGTTGGGAGTTAGACCATTTGTGATTGGCAAGACTGACTCCATCCAGCCGCCTCTCTATCTGGCTCTCAGTGCATTTTTCACTACTTTTAGAGCAGTACAGGTTTAACATAACAGGTTAGGAAACAGCGATCTATACATAAAACGGATGTGGACACACAACACTACAGCAGGAATCAGCTTTCTAAACAGCCTAAAGACGGGGGGGGGGGGGGGGGGGGGAAGACAGTAACAAGATTGCATGATACTGTATTGCACAGCTGTAGAGGAGAAAAAACAGAACGTGTGTAAAGCACGACCCCAAGTAGCAAAGTTAGAGTAGGAGGTTTGTTTACATCCAAATGCAATGCATGGGTCTGGCTCAGTGCTTTCATTAGTAAGTTCCAGTGCAGTAACACATTGGTACCTGGCAACACAGTAATGACATTAGGTACCAAAAGAGAAACACATACATTACACACCCTACACAGCCACACACATAAGCACGCCCACGCTGCATTGTTGATGTGAAGTTGGCAATTAAGAACAAATGGAGCTCATAAAAAGACTGAGACGATAATGTTGATGCAGCACATTAATATGTAGAAAAAGGGACACGCACACACGCATTCAAATCAATTACTACTGACATCAGGTGATGGATGACACACTACAGGGAACCAATCTGAACAAGATGCGAAAATCACCTACACGGACATACACCCTTGGCAAAGTTCACATTGAGTAAAGTGCCAGCAAACAATCCAATCAGAGAAAGATACGCCTGTCCTCAGAGTTTAAAGTGGGAACGTCTTTATACAGGAAATTATCGGGATGAGGAGGTCAGGAAGTGGCCGTAGAGCTTCTGCACTTCCATAGAGCTGTCATCACAGGTCATAATGGCCGTTTGAATTGGCAAGTCAAACAGAGGATGAGTGGAATTGATGCGGAGCTTCTCGCGCCCCAGTCAAAGACAGAGAGATCAGTAGCCACCCGGAGAGAGGAGATAAGATGGTGAGGAGACATGGAAACAGACATCAGCATTTCTTCTTTCATCCGTCTTCTCTCCATCTTCCTTTCCCCTCGCTCTTCCTCTCTGTCTTCCTGTTTCTTTCTCCGCCTCTGGATTTGTTGTCTTCGCCTCTTTCTCTCTCCATCTCTTCTCTCTCTCTCTCTCTCTCTCTCTCGGCTTTGCTGCCATGGTTACAACATCATCCTTACATGAAGTGCATCTGCAGAGGACGGGATCAGAATGGAGAGTAATTTAGTGCGACAAAACACCTTAAGTGTTCAGGCATCTACTGACAAGCAGATTACCTGCCGCAGTGCCGGGAAAACATCTATTCATGGGGGAGAGTGCTCAGTAGGCAATTATATTACTCAGTTTTGTTTTGAATAATTGGTCAAAATATACGTGTTGTTTTTCTGTGAGTCTTGTGGCCATGCCAACTGATGAAAACTCGCTGTGAAAAGCACTTTCTTCACAATGGTCCATTATGAAAAGACAACATGATTGTTCCTACTTCTGGAAGGATCCGCAATTTTGGCATTACTTATCAGTTGTTAGTAAGCTTTAATTGAACGCAAATAAAAGAGTTATAAGATTACAAAATGAATTAATTTTTTATGCTTAACAGATTTATGCTACGATAAGCTAACTGGCTGTAGACTTAAGGTGTCTTAAGTGTTTTAACTTGCGTGCCGCTGTGCATATCAGCATTGAGATTCTCCTAAGGTCAAACACAAATGGAAGACTAACTTTTTGTTGCCGTCTGTGGTAACCCCGAGCTCTAAGACTCACTGAAAGCGATGTGCTGCTATGAACCGAAACATAAAAGCCTTTTTCGGGACAATGCAGCAGCAACATTGGTTTTGGTAATGTTTATGGCGGGAAAAAAGTAAGATAAGGTACGTGGTATTTACGGCGTTAGGGCACGATTCCTTTCCCAAAGTAAGTTGCCAAATTCCTTAAAAACAGAATAAAGCCGGTGCATTTCCTCAGGAGAAAATCTGTTACATCTACAAAAATATGTTGCATATGCACTAATATATTTCTGTCTGTGTGTTACCTGTGCCCCCGGCATGTGTCCAAAGGGATTGGAGGGTCTCAGGACGGGCTGGTTGTACATGACAGGCTGCGGGGGCATCATGGGAACACCCCCCATCTGATGACTCATCTGAGGAGGGAGCTGCTCAGGGAATAGGTGGGAGAATTCATGTGAATGTGGAGAGAAAAACTGTTTTTTTATTTAGAGTAGTTGAATGCCAGCAAAGTCTGATTGATTGACTGAGATTAAAGCTCTTTCTTTACCATTCCATACATAGGCACTTGGGGTGACGTCATAGGAAAAGCCACTGGTGCAGGAGCCTGTGTGGATAAAAAGAGAGAAACTGTATAATACAAACATAATGACACTGTCAGGCTCACGTCTAACCTGTCAAGTGCCTCCATAACGAATACAGAAATGTCTTGACTTTCTTTAACACAAGCATTTGTTTGCGAGACATCTTATCCTGAGATACAAAAAGAGGTGAAACTTTAACAAAGTAGAACTGAGGTCGCAGATTGGCAGCCTTGATAACCGAAAAAGATGAAACAACTATTTCTAGGTAGTACAAAAGGCGATAAATGACCCGTTTGTCTGATAATTCATGTTTCATCAAAAATAGAGACAGTCTAATAATACAAGTGCCGATCAGGGTGACATCATGTGTGAACAACAAGAGTTAAAGGGAGTTGAAGTGAATAAAAGTACTTACATAGCCAGTATAGATCATCCCATTCTGTGGAGAGATAGAGAAAAAGAGTTCAAACAATATATACCATGATCAGGCGTTTTCTCTAAATGAGCTAAGAAGATAAGACAGAGCTGTTCTCATTCCTATTGGTTCAAATCACTACTACTTTCTATTCATGTCGTGCCACCAGCTTTCCGAACTATTTGCTGAATAAATGAGCGGTTTCAGTTGAGAGGTCAATCATCGAAAAGCTAAAAGATGAAACGAGATTGAATGGAAGAGACTTGCGGATAATTAGAGTGGAGCACAAAGGACAGGCATACATTTGGGAGCTCCTTGAAAAAGCCCTGAATGCAGCAGAGAGTTACATTTGGCCAAAAGGTACATTTAATGAGTTTTATTTCAGATTGAGACATCGGACCATTAGGAGAAACAGCTTTCACCGACACAATGATGGATGGCACCGAATTATTTTTAACTTATTAAAACTAAAACTAAAGCAGTGCAGTAATGTTTCTCTGACAAAAGGCCACATCGATAGACTTGACTCTTATGTCATACTTTATTTTGTAACTCGTTAAAAACAACTTGCTGATTTATTTAGTTAGCAGTATTACTACAATATTACACACACAGGAGGGTTTTCTTTTCCCTAATGGTACATTTTGATGAAGAGCCAGCTGCGTTTTTTACTTCTTTGGGTCCTATATCTTTCTAATGAACTAGTTGTTTGAGGAACCTTTTACAGCAAGAACTGTCAAAAATGGTCTCATTTTGGCTTCTCCAATGTGAGTCTTTCTGCTTTTCTCTTTTGCCTTTAGAAATATGTTATTTTATACTGCTTTTTGTGTTGAAAGAGACACCACTGTACCCGTCCAAGTTGACACCACCTTAACAAGCAGTGTGAAATATGTGTGGGTGAAAGTCACAAATTGGTGCAGTGCTGCTGCTGTGTTTTTGAATAGCGGTGGACATTGTTTGGTTCATGACTAACAGGCAAGTGAGTGAGCTCTCACTTAATCTGCAATGTCAGTTGTTAAAATGTCGAGCAAAAAATGCAAATGTGGTTTATAAATTACCATCTGAGGAACGGGCATGGGCGCAGGAGCCATGGGATGGGTGGTGTGAGTCCAGTTGGTACTGGTGCACATTGTCTTTGACTGCCAGCCTCCTCCTGTTGGCTTCTTCTCTACGAGCTGACTCCACTGGAGCTCCGGCCTGATGCACACAAGCAAAATTAATTTTCAGGTTCACAGATTATGCAAAACAAGATTATGCTAAAAAAGGAGAGATAATGAGTCATAAAAGACTTTGAGCAGAGATAAAGCTGGATAGACAGCTGAGTCATTTTTTGCTTGTGGCTGAATCTCAGATGTCACGAAAACCCACTCACTTTTTAGCTGGCGTCCCCCCGAACTGCAGGTCTGATAGAAAAAGAGGAAAATGAAACATAGCATTAGCTGGAGGGAAGCAACGCAGTCAGATGAAAAATAACAGGAAAAATGGAAGCGATTAATATTTGGAGAGAGATTCTGTATACTCACTGCCAACGAGATTGGCTAATGAAGAGTCCAAATCATTGGGCAGCATTTTCCCAGAGTGCAATTGGACTCCGGGGCTGTGAATCTGAGCGTGTGCTACTGGCTTTAGCAGGTCACCTGACATCCAAAGGTTACCATGGTAACATGAAATGAGAGAAGATGGGACATGAGTCAAGAGCATGAAGCAACTGGGCATCACCGTCACAACACATCCAGCTCCAAGCAGTGTGTGAGTTTATTTGCATGGTGTGTGTGTGTGTGTGTGTGTGTGTGTGTGTGTGTGTGTGTGTGTGTGTGTGTGTGTGTGTGTGTGTGTGTGTGTGTGTGTGTGTGTGTGTGTGTGTGTGTGTGTGTGTGTGTGTGTGTGTGTGTGTGTGTGTGTGTGTGTGTGTGTGTGTGTGTGTGTGTGTGTGCGCGTGCGTGTGTGTGTCTTTATGCAGTCATACCTCCCCAGGCATTGTTATTGTTGGGCACAGTGTGTGTGGTCTGGATGGGGGTGAAGTTAGGCTGCAGGGTGAACAGCTCACTGGTCAGGTTTGGCACACTACAGGAAGGGAAAATGGAGAGTAGAGCATAGCTTTATTATTCATTTATTGGTATGTAACTAGATAAGATAGTTACACAAATCAAATTCATAATGACAGCGAACCAGTGAGACTTGAAACATACAGACTGCAGATGTTAGACTCACTGGTTGCTGATGGGTACGATCTGTGAGTTGGAGAAGAGATCTGTGGCCCCCCCGCTGCTGTTGGCACTGCCCACCGACTGAGTGCTGGGCGACACATTGGGTGTCTGAATATCATTCACCTTATGACCGTCCTCCTTCAATTGGAAGCATAAACACCATAATGTTACATTTTCTTGGCTTTTAAATAGCCCTGCAGCGCACACACACACACATACAGTAGTTATAACTGCCTTGGAAAATAAGATGTGCCATTTTAAATGATTCTGTTCCTAAATGCTTCTTTATTTGATTGAAAAATCCACTGCAGACTTCATTGTTATTCTCTGTGCAGCTCTGTACGCAATGGGCCAACAGCCAGAGACTGACAGTGTATTGCACTGTACTGCAGGAATGATGCACTCCATTCAACTTTAACAACAGTGTGGAGAACAAAAAGACTGGCTGTACCCTCGGGGTCTTAAACAACGTTTTATCTTTACCTGCCACTGCGGCAGGCCACTGAACAATTAAACCGGAAATATGTGTAGAATATATGGAAGAGGAAATATCATGTAAACTTCATTCCTAATCCTAAAAACATTATATTTTGCAGTCTATTGAATACCTGTCTGCCATGGTGCATTGATCTCATGGATCTCATGGATCTTATGGTTTGAATATGTCTTGCCTTGTGTTGCTGCAGTCTGTTGTCGTCTGTCTTGTCGTCCACACGGCTGAGAGAGATCCCAGTGCTGGAGAGAGAGGACACTGCACTGGACAAGGTGCTGGATCTTAAGGAGAGACACACGTATAAGAATTTACTACATTCCTGTTAACATTCATCGATTTAAATTATGTTATATTTCATCACTGTTTATAGCCTTTTTTGTTTGCTTTTCTTGAACACATATTTGATTAGCAACTACTGCTTCAATGTTATTGTTGTGCATGAGATACATCAAGAACTAGAAGTTATAGAATATATATCAGGCATAATAAAAGTAGCTTTCACTTGGTGAACAGCACAGAATAAATAATAATGTCATTATTGAAGGACATGGTGTTTTTAAACATCTGCATCTTCCTTAACTAAGCAGTGATGTAATGCGCCACCCAGTGACCATGCATAGTGACCCGAATCTAACACACCCACTTTTTGCATTAACAAGTGCCTCCTGATGATGTAGCTAACATGTTTTACATTCAGTGACAAACTGATATAGCTTTATTATATAAACAATGCCTGTAGGCTTATAAATGCAGTCTATGGATCAGACGTGGACAGAAAGGCTGCATTAACTTGATATATTGTGCTTGGAGGATAAACGAGCAGCTTAACCCGTAACAGACTCAGGGGAACTTCTCGGTGCAAGAGACTCACAGAATGACGCTTACAGGTGAGTACAACAAACTGTGACAGTGCTTCACATCACCAGTAGTGTTAAGTAAATGTACACAAGTACTGTACTTAAGTACAACAATTTGAAAGACAAGTACTTAAAGTAAGTATTTCCACTTTATACTTCTTCTCCACTTCATTGTGGAAGCCAATATTGTACTTTTTACTCCACTACATTGATTTGATAGCTTTAGTTACTTTACAGATTTAGATTTGTAGCTTAAACAAAATATGAATCAATTTATTTAACGAACATTGTCATATCATTTATAGATGGTACCTGCTGGCTGCGCAGAGGTCTTTGAGCTTCCTGCCTTCCAGAGAGGCTAGATGCTGCTCCAGAGCCTCCAGGAGAGAGCTGGGAGCCTGAGGGGGGGGGGGGGGGGGAATGGGAGGGGAGGTGATGGGAGGACATTAGAACCACAGCCAAGTGGACGAGATTGGACACACCGCTTTCTCTCACTCCCATCTCCTCACCTGCTCATTCACTCTCACAAATGCACACAAAGCAGCAGCAAACTAAAGACATAACCCTCAGATTCATTATCTACTCTCTACAACAGCTCATCGTTCTTTTTTCTTTTCTTTTTTTTTTGCATTTGGTTTCATCAGGTTTGGTTGACCAGCATGCACTCATCAGCCTTGGATCATGCAAGCGAGTCCCTAGCAGGACTGACAGGTCAGGACAGAGCAGAGCGTCGTCGCTGCAGGGCTCCAGAGTAGAAACACAACAAACACGTCTCTGAACGTCTAACGAGCCCATGCAGAGGCCAGCAGTGCACAAATGCTCTCATTAACACACACACTTACACACGCATACGAGTAAAGAAAATCACAATCCAAAAATTAAGAGTTAACTTGTGGATTCCACGTTGGGTTGAAAGTCAAATCAACATATTATTCATTATAATTTGGAAATCAGCAGCAGCTAAAGCTAAGTAGCAACATTTTATCCCACTGGAAACCAGGGAAGTTAACTCGGTGAAATGTAAACATCTGGTGAAAACCAGGTATACACATTGAGCAGCTTGCTAGTGCTCTGTATTGTAAAACAAAAAGGATGGATAGGTTCATTTTGACCACTATGTGATACCACAGTTTTCTTCTAGAGCCTTACATTTCAGCACCAGAGAACACAACGCAAACACAACAAGCAAAGAAAGATTTCTCATATACTTATTTTAAGGGGGACAGAGTAAAATGCGAATTCTGGATATCCTTCTTCAGAGAAATCTAGAATATGCTAAAGGTTTAAAAGTAAAACAGACACATATCTAGAGCTCAGTATAGGCATGGGTCACTATGTTGTTGAATAAGGGCATATAAGGTCTTCTTAAGCACTACAAACATGATGTTAATTTGAAAAAGTCAGCCCTTTTCAGTTTGTTAGCTGATTTGTCACATTGTAAACATCCAATTATGGTTCCACTGAAAAGGATACTTTGCATTTGGGGCCTTTTGCATGACATGCAGTGCTTATGATGGCATTATGTACACCTATCCAAGTCATATTAGCAGAGACCTATTCAGTATAACCATTCGCTGCTCTCCCCACAGCTAATGCAAAGGGACATAATCTTTTCAGGGAAATTATTTGAACACTGCTTATGTGGGCAAAAACCTGTTTCATAAAGCTTTGCTGACTTATTTATATGATAAGCCTTTGAATTAAGGAGACAAGCCTTGATATGTACACTGGGAAAATGCCAGAAATAGCTGGGGAAATTCAGACGGATAATAAGCCTGGGCGTCTAAATTAGTAATATGCAAAAAGAGGCAAAAAACGTTTGATATTCAGCTGCATAACGGCTGCTTTCAAACTCTTACCTTTTCAGGCTAAAATTTGTTCTGCAATTTTTTAAGGTAAGGAACTCATTCCTGCGCTAATAATTAACAATTGTGGAAATTAAATGTACTTCAAGGCTGTTTGCAGGTCTTCATTTATCGTTTCCTCTCTATTCTAGACTCAGAGAGAAAAGGAAGAAGGCGAGGGAGTTAAGGAGAGTGAAGAAGAGAGGAGGACAGGGCAGCTGCAGTGTGGGCAGGTCTGTAGGGTGAGTAGGGAACGGGAGCGTTTAGAATGAAGCATTATGGGATTGATTGACGGATTTATATACTGGTTGACTGACTGGTTGATTGACTGATTGAGATGAGATGTAGACTGACCTGTGTGAGATCGGGGCTGTCGCCCTGATCTATCCCAACTCGCTGTGTCACAAAAAAGGAGGGAGGGGTAGGGGAGGGTGGAGGGAGGCAAAAATAAAAAATAAACCAAATGTAATAACAAAATAAGGAATAAACAAAAAAATCCAAAAGAGTAAAAAAGGGAAGAGGCGTGTGAAGGAGGAAGAGGAGGAGGGAGAAAGAAGAATCAAACTCAAGCATTCATTACTTCATGCAGTGGCTGGAAAGGAAAACAAATAAAAGACAACAGAGGAGGAGGGGAGGAGGGCACATGCACACGCATACAAACATCTATATATACACAGTATTTGTACACACACACACTTATAAGTACACACACACACTGAGATCTGGAGACTGGTGTGAAATGAATGCTGAGCACACCGACTGATTGAACAGGCAGAGAGGGCAGACAACGGGTCACGTGACTGCGAGGTAAGAAACATCCAAAAGGAAGACACTCAACTAATGTTGACTTTGAACAGAAAGAGAAGGGGGGGACACAGATGACACACAAACAGACAAACACACATTTTGTTAGACAGGTAAAATGAATGGGTCCTTAAAGTCAACGTTAGTCTGTTTAGTTTTTTCTTTGGATCGAGCGGATCGCACACGCCAAACCTTATCCAAATGGGAACGAAACCAAGCAGAGAGAAAGCCTTTGAAGATGGCGCACGGGATAAAACTGTTTATATATTCACTGTGAAGCCTAGCAACTATTAAATGGATGACAGCCATTTTAAATATATATTTTTTAAGAAAAGAGAGAAAATATAATAATAGGACAGAGATAGTGATAGAAAAAGAGCTTGCTTGGGCATGCAGTGCAGGCATGTGAACAGGCAGCACGCGAGGGGTCCCTCAACAGGAAGCTCTACATGAGTGGCTCTCTAATAGGCTAACACTCAGCCATTATTCACTTGTCATGGAGTAACCCCCTCCCCAGGTCAGGGCAAGAGAAGGACAGAAACAGGAGGAAAATCTAGAGGCAAAAAAAAACTTGGAAGATTAAGAAAAAAGAACCCGGACACTGATCTACGGTCAGTTTTAGCCTGGAAGATATCGACCGTAAATCAGATTCCAAAGGGTCACAGAAGTCTGGAGTGAATCTCAACGGGTTTTCTCTGCTGCTTAAATTCTTCTGAGAAACAGGAGTACATTTTAAAAGAACATGGAGATGTGTTGAGTAGGAGACCGTCGAGATTGACCCCAGACAGATTACCCTCGCCCTCTCCAGTGGAGTAAAACTCTGCGGTTTCCTCCGCGGAGGAGCAGCAAGGACAAACGGACGTTACCTCTGCCACTTTGAGAAACTCGGACAGTTTGGTCATCCTGTTGAGGAAAGTCTTGTAGATCTCCAGAGCTTCTTTGCACTGGTTCTTCTTCATGTCAAAATATTTCTCTGTGTATGAGAAAACACCAGAATCAGCACAAGATCGTTAACATGTTTGGCATCTATACTTGCTAATAATGAAGATTTATTTGCTAGGTGATATTGTTTAGAAAATGTATACAAAGAAAAAACTGCTGAAAAATAACCAATCAGCTTTTGATTTGTCCTGATAAGCAACACACATCTGGCGTCTCTGCAGGCTTTAAATCCACAACTATATAACCGTAGTTGAAGCACATCAATTAAGTAATGAAACATTTAATGAACTCCTCACTAAAGACTCTGTGTGTTCTCAGCCCCTGACTCTTTACTGGCTCAATAATTAATGAAAGAAGGAGATCTTTAATTGGACTTTTAGAGACAGTTGGAGGCAAATTGATTTCCCCTTAAAGAAACATTGAGTTGCCCCCTGCTCTGGTGATCTCGACATCAGAGGCAGATTTAAGCATTAAAACAAGTATCTGTGTGTAGGGTTTACCCAGCATGTTGATGACCCCTTCGTTGTAGGCAGCAAACAACCGTATGGAGTCTTTAAACAGCAACATGAAAGCAGTGTTGATCACTCCGTTGGTTAGCTCATTGGAGTTAGGCTAGAGGAAGGAAAGGAAGAATCAAGTTGTGGCAGCATTAAATATTCAAGTCTTGTGTCTCCTGTTGTTGAGTCAGATGTTTACCTGGAAATCCAGCAGTGCATCAAGCTGGTTCTGAATGATGGGCAGAGTCTTAATCAGCTTCTCTGTGTTCATGGTGCGCATCACACCCTCAGCCCTGATCGCAGAAGAGAAAACATGCACACAAACACGCATGCAACACACACACAGGAGTCATCAGGCCTGTAGACTGAAGGATGTATGTGTGTAAGGAGGTCCCAGAGATGTACGCTCTCTAGTAGCACGAACACATTTCTTTTTTTTTAAACGCATTCTTCATCCTTGAATTGAAAAGTGGAATTTCTAAGCAGAAACTATACACTTTCTCAATTTAGTACACTCAGGGATTTTGCCACTTCAGCTTTATTTGGCCGGGTATGACATATAGCCTATGATGGATAATGTTCTACGTTTTTGGATAACATAACAAATAGTTGGATAATACTGGGTCAGTTCCCCTGAGTTACTGTTTGACATGCCCATAACTCACACTCGTATCTACAGTGTTAGTGGATGCTGTCACAAAGGTTAAATCTATCTGCTGTTCAAGTAAAGCATTTTAAAAAACACATCTGGTGCAACCACCATTGGCTGAAAATTACATCTTTTTTGGGTAAAAAAACCACATAATACCTGTCTTTATACACATGTGTGTCAGTAGTGTGTGTAGTTTGTTACCCTCTCTTCATCTTGGTGAAGTCCACTGCTGCTAGTCTGTATGACATGGCTTTTTCATTCAGGTAGCGGCTGTAGCGTCTGATGAAAGTTGACATGTTATATCCTGGGGGGGCACAGAGGGGCACGGCAGTTAGAGGCTGATCACTTTGATTTTCAAACAAGGTTAAGAAGTCATAATCCCTCTCATATGAAATTGACTAACTTCTCCGTGAGCAATCTGATGTTCTCCAAATAAGCCATTGCACCTTCTTACCTTGAGATGTTATTGCTTATTCTATAGCTCTTTTGAATATATTGCATTACAGATACTGTTACAGCTTCTTGTATCAAACAAAAGGCACATTTATTTAGTAGGTTTTCAATCCTGGACTGTAGCTTTCCTCTAAAACGGGCTTATTGATAGTTTTACAGAGCCAGGCAGAGTCTGACATAAAGCCATTTTGTTAGACGTGCAGCACTGCTGAGTTCACAAACAGCCAAATAGCATTAAATCACCTTGTAGTGCAGCCTTATCTAGAAAGTTGTTGAGGTTGAAGAGTGTGTTTCTGGAGGCAAGGTACTGCATCAATCTCTGATGGAAAAAGGACAGGAGAAAGAGTTAGAGACTATCTATCTGATGTAGAGCTGCAGAGATAAGTGGTCAACTTTAAATTAATCAGCTGCTATTTTAAATAATCCTTTAATCTGAAAATTATCTGAAAAGCTTCCGAAATGTGAATATTTTCTTTTTCTTAACACCTCTATGACCGTAAACTGTTTGAGGCATTTAAGGTCATGGTGATCAGCAATTTTTTTTTTACAATTTTCGGACAGTTGATAAATATCCAGTCATTTTCACTCAAACACAAACAGTGTATTTCATACAAAGTGAAGTATTCATTTTGACTTCCTTTGTTTTGCAATTTGATGTTACATTTTACGATTACCCAGTTCCAGCATCATGTTTTGACGGGAGATGCATGACATTAACTAAGTGAAGATGCTAATTCATGGGGCTTTATCCCTCATAGTTTTTCTGTTCATAATGCCACAGTTTGTGAAGGAATAACTTTTCTTGTTTGAATACTTCGAGATAGTCGGTGTAACCGTTGTAATCACTCTTTCTAGTCTCTTATCGTTTGGTTGTTGCTTCTTCAGCGCGAGCAAGCAGAGTGAGGTGATTTGTCACACTGGCCATTGAAATGTCAGCGGGACACATTATCAGTCCTTGTTGGACACATTGAAGAAACAGCTTCTTCTTTTTTAAACTGGCTGCAAGAGTCTCAGAAAAATCGCTTCAACCTGGCGAGCAAAATGTCAGTGTTGACAGATCAATGACTCGATCTAGCCGATCGGCAATCCTTCTCATGTTTTTGTTTGTTGATGTGTGGGGCAGAGAGCATTACGTTGAACAGAAAATGTCTAACATGTATCCGTTAATCTGCACCCGTGTGCTCTGTTTATGATCTTGTGTGGGCTTGCGACTAACATTACACAGTCTTTAAATCTGTTAAAGGTTTTTCTGTTGATAAATAGATTATCTAAATGGTTGTTGAGTGGCTTTCTGTCCATCGACTAACAGGAAATTGACAAATAATTTCAAATCTAGTGTGCATCTCTAGAGGCTGATAATGTACAGCTTACTAACTAACTTGACAAATCCAGGCATAGATGGTTATTGTAGGTGACCTTCAAAATTAAAATAAGAGTGAGCTCAATTTAACTATCCAAAATAAACCAAGCTAACTACCAGGATTATTTCATGAATACATAACTGCTATGAGTACATTTGTAGAGCTTGTTCTGTTGAGACAACTTAATAAATGTAACAGGCTTGTTATCTCAAGATGACAAACTTCTTTCATCCTGAGAGTTTGTAAAATAATCATCTTTTCCCTCTATGGGCTCCCTTGGTCGTGCTCCGCTCACCTCGTTGCCGTACATCATGAGGTGGTGTGTGGTGATGAGCGCTTTGAAAACCACGATCCAGCTGTTACTGGCTGTGCGCTCCAGCAGTGTGTCTGCCAGGTGGGGGATGCTGACGTTCAGCTCATTGGTGCAGTGGATCAGGTCTGGAGGAAAGGGGAAAAAACAGAAAAGATATTTATATAAAAAACTGTTAAAGACATCAGAAGAGAGATTACAGAAACAGGCGTGTGGCCAAGACATTAGAGATCCTCTGTTGCAGTTAGATACTATGAACATTATGTCCTTAAAGGTCACATATTATACACATTTTAGGTAATTTAACTATAATTGTATACTACTAGAATATGCTGTAAGGTTAAAAAAAAAAGTATTCCCCTGCCTACATTGTTTAATTAAAACCCGGCTAGTTTACTTTCTGTAAGTCCCTGTGAATAAAAGCACTAGCCACGTGCCAATATCGTAATCTATAACCTTGGGGAGCTTACAGGTTGAGTTATTAGGAATCGATAGAATAAGTGAACAACCACAATGAATGCAGTCTTATTGACTGGTGCATGCATTTTGACTCACTCCATATCAGCACACAAATCAGTGAACAAATGATTATTAAATGATAGAGCGTACAGACGGATGAATCAGAAGCAGTGCTACTGTATCATGAAATCCATTTTGTGGCTGCAGTTCATCAGTGCTACTCCAATAAATTACTCAGAAAATGGAAAGCTACATTACAAGGTCAATAAAACATCTACCAAGAATGCATTATTTAAACAAAAAAAAACGTGGCTTGATGTTGTATCATGAATCTGAGTTTTCTTTCCAGAGCATCTTTGTTAACAGTAATATAATAAAACTGAGTTGGCTCTCATGTTTACCCGGTTAGACTTGCAACCAGAGTGTAATCCCACTGTTCAAAGGAAATGTGGAACATGTTTTAAAAAAAAAAAGAAATCTCAGTGTTTTGCTTCGTATTGGATTTAAAAGGTTTGACAAAATGGCAAACTGTGTGTATGACAAGTAAACTCAGAACAGGGTCAATTTTAAAAGAAAACGTTTTCAGTTTTATATAACTCTCTACCCCCCTTAAAATGAGGTCATTCAAAACTCAGCAGTAAACACTAAACGTAGGACAGATTGGTGGAACAATGCCCTAAATTCTTCAAGGATTTCATTGGCTAAAGATCAAAATGTGAAGTATGTTCGGCCTCTGTTTAATCTCAAAGATGTACTTATACTGCCTTGTTAAAGGACCAAGCTTATAGCAGAAACAGGCATTTTACTATGTGCTTATTCAGCTTTTGACTAGGCTGGATTACTGGAAAGAAAGGGTTGTTAATATCTTCAATGACAAAGATCATTTTCTCTCAAACTTGACCTTGTGTGTTTTACAGTAAAACCCTTTGATTGTACTGTGCTCTCACTGAAAAGCTGCTGCGTGTTATCTGCTCTGTGACATTTATCAGCAAGTTTAAGATCTTTTCCTGGACCAACCAATAACATTATCTGGATTGATCTATTTTGCTCTGAGAAATCCCTGTTTGGATTGATAAACATGGTGTCCTCTGTAGTGCTGTAAGCAACTTGACATTGTGCAGATTATTTAAAACCCAGACTCTGAGACGATCTGATCAAATTTGACTGTGTACTAAATATCTTGTTCAATGACATTGGGACAAAGTGATCAAATAATAAAACAAATAATCAAGAGGAGAAGCAATTTTACTTCCATTTGAGAGCAGAACTCGACCTAGTAAAGAAAAGCACATCAGCATATAAGTATAAAATGAATAAAGCAGATTTAGTGAGTGAACTTGGGGGGTGAGAGGAAGTGAACTTTTATTCAAAGACAGGCAGAGAGAGATATTTTCATGCTGAGTTACTGGGAAAAACTTCAAGCAAGGTGAGGTTTCTGAGGCAAATCCTAGTTCTCTTTATTCCATAGGATCAGAGGTTATCGGGGTTTATTTGAAAGCTCTGTGATGTTTTCTGATCCTCCTGAAACACGTCGTACCAAAGAGTCCCAGCTGATGCCACGGTTAAGTGTTTGATGCATGTAAAAGGTGCACAGAGCACTGGGAGTTCACCACAGCTAAACTTCAATCCTGTTAAGATTTCAGTTCATTTATGTGATTTGTTGGGAAGAATTTAGTGGTGACAAAACAGCCAATAATATCTCTTAATTACCAATATTGATTATAGACTTCATTGACTTCTTTGACTGCAATGACTGTTAGACTCTCAATCAGCTGCAATAATATCCACACACTGGTCCTCTGCATTAAAGCCAAATATAAATGTCTGTTTATTTCCAATATCTGAACGTGGAAAGTGAAACATGAAAACAAAATACAAACCAGTAAAATTATTAAAAAGCAAACACATTTAGGTAAATACCCAGCAAAGCTCACATTACACATTTGTATTTATACCTGACCACTATAAACGTGCCTTTGCCACTCCATGCCTTTTTTTTTCCGAATTACATTTCTGGGCACTAATATTAAAACAGTAATTGTAGCGTTTAGTCATGCTTTACACATTGTTAATGATTTGTTTGTGGATTTTCCTTCCTGGTTCAATAACTAATGGGACCGTATTGATTTCAGCTAATTATTTGTTCCTGTCAAAAGTGAAAAAACACACCAGTAAGGTGGACCAAATACCTGAACAACGTAGTTTACTTTGAAAATATTAGCATGCTAATGTAGGGAAGTTGAACATGGTAAACCTTATACCAATATTTTTGTAATATTTAGGGCAGTTTGACACCTTTTTAACTGGAACAGGAACAATAGTATTGAGTTAATTTCAATGTGTTTTTGCTGGTTTTAGTTGTTTTTATAGAACATTGTTTAATGCTTAAGCTAGTTTAGAGCAAGCATAGTGTGTTAATTAAGTAGCCTCACATGTCAGCTGCAATACTTTACGATTAAGTAAGCCGTCTTTTATATGCACCAAAAACCAAGGCTTTGATTGTGAGTGAGACGTTGGATTCTCATTGAAATGCTCGTTATTGCGATGGAGATATGGATATGGCTACATTTGAATGTGCAATTGGGTTGTAGCAATTATCACTGAGCTGCTACAATATCTACCATACCACAGGGAAATAGCAAAGCCCTCGTGCTACTCCTTGAATATAATTACACCTAAGTAATAGAGTGTCTTCAGTCAAATATCTCCGAGCTCGGTCCCCCTGCATTTATTCCTGTGGGTGATGATACATCAGCAAGGATGTAATCATTGGCGTGTGACAGTGTAGATAGCCAGCAGGATTTGATGGGATATTGATTGCCATCTGGTATTATTGATAAACTGCAGTCCACATAGGGAAAATGAGCATCGATAAGATAATTATAAATAAGATTCAGGATAACAGTGTTAATGCAAATGCAAAGAAGACACTTCATTAAAGTCAAGCCCATTGTAATGCTCGTGAGCAAAACATATAAAGTCTTAAAGTTTGTATCACTTAAAAGACGTGTAACACAAACTTTATTGACACATTTGTAAGACTTTGGATCGTCATTTTCAGAACCCAAATCTGCATTACAAGATAGGGTTATTATAGTGACACATGCATGTGGGAGTAAGTGTGTGGGGGTATCCATTCATGCTCAGTTTAAACATTTTACTGCTGTCAGACTGACTGTGAGTCATAGCAACGCCACCTATCGTCATTTCAAATTCTTCTATGGCCAAGAACCAAAAGGCCAGTGATTATTTTCTACAGAACATAACTATTACAGCCGTGACACACAGCCAAATGAATTATGTGCTGAAAAACACGGCTAACTGAGCTTTCAGGGCAGAAGGTCATTGTTGGCCACGTTACAGTTCTATGTGTGATGAATCTGGTTTCTATTGTCACTCTCTACTATCTCGGCCATGCACAACACGGCCAAGTGAAAGCGAAATCCCATTACTCTGTCTGTCATGCTCATCATTTGCTGTGGGGCAGTAAATAATCACCACTGGCCGTTAAGTCACCAACCAGTCTGTCAAGGTCATGACACTGTAAGAAAAAAAAAAGATGTCGATGAGACCTGGATGAATAGCTTCAATGGCCCACATTGCATTTGATTTATCAAGCGTTGCATTTGGAGAAATGGCACAGCAATTCATCTTCTCTTTTCACAGTGCCCGACAAAGAAAGATCGATAACAGGTTGAGTATATTTTAAAGGTAATTGAAATGTTGTCTGTATTTATAAAACCTCTAAGATTATGTAAACTGATACAGAATCGCCAGCTATTTCCTAAGCTTTAATTGGCTCCAGGGGATACGATTTTAAATATTTGCCTGCAGTCTGTTATATGTTGTTCCTTTAAGTCTAATCTGTTAGCCACATTGATTTTATTCCATTTGCTTGGTGTCTGTCCTGCTGAAGGCTGCCCCCCTCCATTACCTCAATGTACAGACTTAAAGGGCCAGTGTGCAGGGGAATGTATGAAGAAATGTAATTTAATATTCATAGCTACGTTTTCATAAGGGTGCAAACACCTGAAATCAAGAATCCTTTTTCTTTCCTTTAGAATAAACCCTTCATATCTAAATAGGTCAACTATGACAAAACATGCAATTAATATGCTCTCCTTAAAGCCACCAGACTCCAGTCAAGCCATGGTCATTTTACCTAGCTTGTCATCGTAAAACACACTTTATTCAAACATGACAGGAACAAATTCAAACTTGTTGAAACGTCTTTGGGTTTCTTTCCAGTCTTCAAACAATCACAGAGTAGTAAGAGATAGTGCCCACCATAACATTTGAGTATTTCATAACCCTGCTTTTTGGCACATTTGCAATGTCGAATGACCACATACTTGCAATAGTAAAGGAGGATATCACCTATTTTTTGCAAGCTTTCTGGATTAAAAACCTGCACATTATATATATAATTCAGTGAAAAATGGGCATTGTCGCCTTTTTATGACCTTGTTTAACCAGGCATTTTGATTAAGACAGCCTCCAGAGTTGTTCTAGGTGAGTTGCACAAAGAGGGCGTGGGTCAACAGATTATTCAGAAGCTCCTTTTAGATACATTTAGTTCATCGCTTTATCTTTTCGTTGATTATTCATGTCCCCGCCACAGTCCTCTCCGCCAGTCGAGGGATTACTGTAGATGCACTGACCTCACAAACACCCTTCCTTCCTGCGTCTTTCCGTTAACCTTAAAAGTGCAGTGTCTGCACTCGATAAAATGTCAGAGAGTCGTATGTTACACCATGTCCTGGATGGGGAAGAGGGGCCCCTCCAGCAGGAAGTACTAGGCGTTTACTGTGAAAGCTAGCTGTGTCTATTAGAACAGCTGCATCTAAATGGCTCATGTACAAAACATTCATTCAGCTAAAAATGCAGGCTTTAATTCAGCCAGGCCCTCAATTTCTGCTATTGCAATGATCAGAATAAGAGCCGGATCAGAACTCAAAACATGTCATGTAACCTCATCGTCCAGAGAACTGACCCATTCTGAGAGAAACTTCTTTGTCCTTGAGAGCAGCATTACAAACCTTTTCATAATCCATTTGACGGATGAAAATTTGTCATGTAAATGCTCCTGTTCTATTTTAGGAATACCCGCTCTCACCCTTGAGTAAAGTGACATTTACTAGTTTCTGTAAGACTCCTACCAGTGGCGATGCTGAAGGTGGACGACCTTCTAGCTTTTAACAACTGCAGAGGTGTTCTCATAAAACCGCAGGAAGCACCTTAATAAACCAATAATGAGGCCAATTCCTTAGGCCCTTAACTGATTGTTTTCTTCAGCACTTTTGATAGTACTTTGTTGGGATTAATCAATAGGCTTGTTTTTCTTTAGAAATTAGAATAAATGTTGACGAATGTACCTTTTTTAGAAATCCTCTATACGGCTAGGAGTAATACCACGGAAAAATACAAATATCTGTTAGTGTTGGTCAACACCAAGATAAGATTTATGTGAAATCAAAGCAGCAGTAAATTACTTGATTTTGCCATTCAGGAGTCACAAAAGAGCTTTTTTATTAAGTGCATTTCTGAACCTTTTTCAGACTGTTTTTGTTGCTTTTAATGTTTTTTTTAGCAGGGCTTGGTGAAACAGCCCTAATTTAGATCTATTTGAGGCGCCCGTTGGCACATCTTTTAAGGGATCCCAGAAATCCCAGTGTCACCTCTGCTGTGGACATGACCGATTAATCCACTGCCAAACTTGCCGGCTGACTGGCTGGGTGTGTAGCTGGATGGCTGACTCTCATACCGTTTGGCTACCTGCCTTGTGGTTTCTCTCTCAGACTGATTTCCCCTTGATTTGCCATCTTGCTATTTGCCTGTCTGTGTCTGTCTGTCTGCCTTTTTAGCTGTCGTGCTGACTGCCTGTGAGTCTGACTGGCAGCACCATTGATTACCAAGCTCTCCATCGATCATGTCAAGTAATTATAGTGAGGCAGAAAAGCCCCCTAACCTAATAATTACTGGTAAAATCTACATGTGAGAAAGCCTCCTTGTTTCTCCCTGTGTATATAATTGCTGTAGTTTGCACACACAGCTAATTAGCTGAATTTGGAGATAAAGAATCTGTCTGCTTAAACGCCTCATTGTAACACCCACCAGCACAGTGACTCTGCTCCTGACAGCAGCAAACACATCCATTAATGACAATAATGCACCAGAGGACATGACAGTGAACTTGAATGTGAGATCACAGAAATGGAGGAAAAAAATGCCGCAGAAATAAGGCACATTTTGTACAGAAATGTCTCCAGAGGATGTAGTGGAGCCGCTGATAGTGGCGTTAATAATGGATAGGCCTACACGGTAAAGCTGCTCTCAATATAATTAGCCCTTACCAGAGTGGCCTATTTCCCCTGGATGGCATTTACAGATTGCCTTATATCCACATTTACTGCTAAACATTAATACCCATATACAAAGTAGCGCGCGTCGCTGCGTAAATCTCATTTTAATCTAAGGGAATGTAATGGTGTTTAATTAAAGAAACTGCAAACACAACCGGGCCGGGTGAGAGATGAAAGAGAGATGGAGGGGGGAAGCATAACAGATTCTGTTTATACAAGCTGTCCTTTGTAAGGAAAGAGGCATCTAAGCAGTAATGGCATGCATAACCTACAGTCAAGGTGTTTCTTCTTGGGTCCGCTGACTTCATGCGTCGTGGCCTTGCACACGGCTTTGCTGATGGCAGACCCGGTCATGCTGTGTTGAGCGGCGGCGATCCGGTCCGTCAAAGACTGTCCCGACATGGTACTGAGGAAGAGGAAGAGGAAGAGGAAGAGGAAGAGGAGGAGGAGGAGGAGGAGGAGGAGGAGGAGGAGGAGGTGGTGGTGGTGGTGGTGGTGGTGGTGGTGATGGTCGAGGAGTCCGGGTGGGGGGAACCGGGGAGGACGATCAAAATGTCTTTAGAGGCAGGGAGGAGGGTAGTGCCCTCTGCGAGAATCGGCCGTCTGAGGAGGAAGAGGAGGAGGAGGAGGACAGCAGCGTTCACCGACGAGGATCCGGTGGGAGAATTCATGCGGCGGCCAAATAAAACATAAAACGGTCACATCCAGGGATCATATTCAGTCGAAGGTATCAGAAGCTGCAGAAATAAGAAATCTATCCTATAATTATAAAGAGCAGCCTGCAGTAAAAGTACTATAAGACAATGTATCCCTGAGATGATATATACGAGAGCTGAATGCGAAATAACGATAATCGAAACACTACCGGTGATGATTATCAGATCTATGCGGCATTCCCTGTGACTGAAGCAATTTTTTCACAGACGGTATAAAACAGCATTGTCCTTTCCCCCTTTTCTCTGCTCTTCTTCGCCCGGTTTCTCCTCTAAATCTCCGCACACACCGACCGCAAACACCTCTCTGATCCACACAGCTCCCCGCACTGGCTGCATCTAACCTTAGCCGCTTTGATTTTTTTTCTCCCCCAGTCTTTTTAATCTCCTTACAAAGGGTGTATTTCTGTGTGTTGAGGTTGCCGATAGGCCAATTTTTTTCCCCCCCCGTCAGTCAAACTTGTGTGTAAAATGGCAGTACATGTATCAGGTGACTGGGAAAGGAGGGCGATTGGGCCACTTCTGGGGGCCGGGGAGGGCATCTTAAAGCTGAAGGCTGCCCCCCGGTTTTTTCAAGGCAAAGAGAAAGCATCAGCTGGTCCATCACCTCGGTGCATGTGGAGTGTGATGTGCAAACTCTCCATGATTACCTGCCATCCAATGAAATGTAGACACATATGGAGGAAAATCCTGATAACATCGACACAAGGTGTTTCATTCCTGTGATGCTACATGACTCCTATAAGACTGAACATGTGGGGTGACCCTGATCTTTCATGTTATAGGAATTTGTATGGCATTACAGTAGCAATTCTATGTGTTTGATGTGATATCAGTGGCACAAGAGTTTACAGTGCGTAGTTTATGGTGTCATGTTATAATGGTACCTTAGTAAAATCCTAGCATACATTCCCATTCGGTAACATTTCTTGTTGCCTTAAAATCATTTCCCGGGATTCTTTCCAGTTTGATTTACTTAGTTCCAACAGTATGACATTTAATGGTTAAGTAAATACCATCCTGATGGTTCCTGCTTTAATTTAAAGGCCACCATCTGATGAAATGTCTATAGGAACAACATGTTTTATTACAGGGAATATGGATCAGTATTCAGATTAAAGAGAACGTTCAATATGTGGAAAGAAAAATGGACACATCAAAACTGAAATTGAGGGACATTTGTAATGGCAGTAACTGCTCTATATAGCAATTTTAGGATTTGTTGTCTAGTAGGGCATAATATAGTACGGGATGCCCTTTTGAACTGCAACTTGCAAGTGTTTTTTATAGTCCAATAATCTGCTGATTGTTAATGTATAGTATTGTTTGATCTAGATCATTTCACAAATACTGAAAAATCCCATTACAATTTGTGTGTCCTATAGTCCAAGAATGCACCTCATGTATTAGCATGTGTTCGGGTCACAGGGGTGGCTCTTTATTTCTCTAAAAGATAATCAAACCCTTTGTGTGACACGGACACTTACTGCTGTGCTGACAGTATTTTCTGAATCCTCTTAGACTCTTCTAGCCTGTTAATTATCTTTGACTCAGGACTCCAGTGTACGCTTATAAAAGAGAGACACACACTGGGGATTTTCAAATCCCAAAGATGTTCAGTTTACAATTATATAAAACTGAGAAAAAGCAGCAAATCCTCACAAGTGAGAAGCTATGCTAGAAAAAGCGATTAGTGAATTATAAAAATAGCCGTCGATGAATCAGTTAATTGTTTCAGCCCTATTTGCTCTCTGTGAATTAAGTCAATTTCAAGGCTGATTTCAAAAAGTTGTGGGGAAATGTGTTGCGTTGAGCTGAGAGGACATGACACATGCAACGATCTTAAATGAACAACACTGACAACATACTGGACAGTATATGGAAACACAAATACAGTTGTTATTGCATGTAGTCTTGTCCATAGAGAATATTAATGTGTTGCATTACAAGGACAGGCTATTATACATCAAAGGGAGTGAAGTAAAATATAAAGCTGATGCCTAATTCGAAAACATGGAATTTCAAATAACACTTGAGGCAGATTCAACAAAGGCTGCTTTTCAGTCGTCTCTGTGCTGAAAAGAGAAGCACATGCCATGCTTTTGACTGGCAAGAAATCAATTTGAGGGTTGAAGAAAAGCCTCATACCAACAAAAGAGCAAATGTGAGTTTGTTTGCTATCACAGTTATGTATACCTAGAGTGAAATGTTTTGAGGACATAAAAAATCATTATGGATCGAAAAGACAAATATATTCATGATAAAACGGAAATGGATGCCTAGAGGAGGAAGCTACTGTACATCATGAAAAGACGGAGTAGTACTGGAAGACCCACAGACGCTGTAAAGTGGGTCACACTTTACCACCGCTGTTCTTAATTAGAAAAAAAATCGCAATCCACTAAACGCCTTTAGGTTTTATCAACCACTTCAGCAGTACATTAAATGGAAATATCTGCTAAACTGACTCTCCTCCATTACTTCCACAACATTAATGTTTATTTCTCACCGCTCACGATTCTTGTGTGTTTTCTCGGTAGCATGAGAGAACAGATTTTCCAGCCCATCAGTTCGTGATCCAGTGTGAAAGAGAATGTCTCTACGTAGCGGGCCAATTATAAACACACGCATTGCATTCTCTGTAATAATGTTGCATAATAGGGATTAATTTTACATGAGATTAGCAAACAAATAAGGCTGTGATCTTCAGCAGATGGAAAGTATAGCATCTGTAATGACAGATAGGAGTATTTAACTGTCCAATAAGCATTACTCCAACCAACGTCAGGTATTTAGACAGTATACATTTGCTAATTTCCTCGTCAGTTTAAACCCAGGGGAATCAGTTAAAACTAGTTTACAAAAACACTGTATGAAAGGCCATTTCTCTGCATGTTCTCTCCTGCAGTGTGCCCATTCTGAGCCGATCCCTAAATACTGCAGTGAGGAAAAATAGCAGATGAAGGAAGGACAGCTTCTGATGTCCAAAGAACATTTATTTTCAAATGTAAGTCCATTATAAATGTGATAGTTTGATGTGTTTCACTTGCATTAATAATTGGTATCTCTATATTCAAACGCTAATCTGTATAGAGTCTTAAAGGTCACCTATTATGCAAAATCCACTTTTTCCTCTTTTTTATACATAAACATGTGTCCCCTCTGTATAAAGAGATTCTTAAAGTTTCAGGAAAAAAGATTTGCTCGCTTTTTGTCCTGATCCATATCCGTCTGAAAATGAGCTGATCAGATTTTGGACACTTTATGATGTCATAATGATTTTTTGGCTTGTGTAACCTGAATCTCCTCTTAGAGCACCATTGTGTTTATTTTAACCAAATATCTCTCAGAGGGGTGTGGGGAGTGGCTCCTTATTTTCATCTAAAGTAAAATACAGAATCAGCACTTTTGAAACAGGGCTGAAACAGAGGGGTTTGTGGGATGCTACAATGATCTGTTTGGTATTTCGAGCCAAACACTTCAGAGACATGTTTTTTATATATCGGAGACCTATAATATATTGATGAAAAACAGTATAATAGGGGACCTTTAAGTCTTGTTTTTTTTATTATTATGTTTTGTTAAATATGTTCAAAGAAAGCACAAGAACCACAGTTACAAAAATGTACATATTGATATATATTTGACATATATTTGGGTTAAATCATAGAATGTAACAGAAAAGTTGTGCTTCTCATATGCACACTAACTTAAATAAAAATAATACTAATAATTTGAATACCTCTAAGAGAAAAACAATACTGTACAATTTATCTGGTTAAAAAGTATGAAATAAAATGTAAGTCGTAAATTCACATTTAATGCCTATCTTCCTAAAACTTTTAATAAGTCAAGACATTCTTTCATATTGAATTAAGAGGATCTGAAGGACTGAAACATTTTAAATTAACCTAAACCAAATCCTTTCTGCTTCAGATCTCCTGATGGCCATGGTACTAACCTCTGCCTATTTTTCTGTATTAATCACTATAACAGTCCCTGAGCCAAACTGGGTGGCATGTGATTGGTCAGGAGTCACGGCTTCATACATGATGCACAGTTGAGAGGATCCTTGGTGGTGTTGGTGAATCCAGACAGGATGAGGGAGGCGGGCTCTCGCTCCACCACCGGGCTCTCCTCGTTGTTCAGGATGTTCTCCACCAGGCAGCGTGCCGCCTCCTCGATGTTAGCGTTTTCCTGAGGGAACGTAAAAGAAAACAACTATAAAGCAATCAGTTGTGGTGGCCTTGCTAAGGATGGCACTGCGCTGGTAGGTCCACCACTAAAATATGTCAACAACATTTTGATGGGTTGCTGTGGAGTTTTGTACTTCCCACAAAATAAACCCTACTGACTATTCATCTAGTGCCATCATCAGGCCAAAATGTCAATTTTCACGACTTTTTTATGATCAAATACCTCCAAAAATAATGATAAATCCATGAGCCTCAGCTATAGTTCGAGTAAAGCACTGATCAAAAAGCACTGCAGTGTCTTAACGTCTCACAGAGCTGAAAGCATGGGTGTAAACCAGTGGTTCTCAAACAGGTGGGGCTTGAAAAGGCCCACCTGTTCCTCATCGCTCCAATAAAATGGTAGGCCAAGCTTAAAATGGTCAAATGTATCGTTCTATAACAGGGGTCTCCAACCTTTTTTAGGATGAGAGCTACTTTCACAAAATAAAACAAGTCGTGAGCTACTTTTACTCCTCTTTTTTTTGTTTTTTGCAGTGTATATATTTAGCACATTTTAACATTGATGATAACATGATATGCTGACCTTTAACCTTTAACCTTTGTGTGCTGTTTGGGTCTGTGGGACCCATTTTCAGTGTTTACTAAAAGAACATGTATGCAATTTAATTATTTTAACCTGCTTTATTTGGGGGTGGACCTAACCTCCTTTAGGGGGGTCCGGGGGCATGCACCCCCGGGAAGATTTTCTTTTAAATGTTGAAGTTAAATGAATTTATGGATACAGCTCTCAACACTCAGATGAAAGGGAGCTGTATACTTTTCAATAATCCAAACATCTTTAGAATATGATCACAACCAATAAGAAATCATTTAAACTGGTTTATTCTTATCTTATGTTACCTATAGCATTCTTTCTTTCTATTTATGCATATTTTACTAATCACTCCCCTTTTCAACTATTTTTCTTTTTACTGTCCTATAGTACACATTGGAATGATTTCTTACTTTATTTTTTACAGCTATATTAAATAGATAAAGGTGTGCTCTCTAGCTCTCTCTCTCTCTCTCTCTCTGTCTCGCTCGCTCACAGAGGCTGTGTGCTCCTCCGTGGCGATGACGGCTTGCGTTAAAAAATAATAATAAACATAGGCCTATTTGTAAAGTGGGGGGACACAAACGGGATTTCGAAAAGTGTCACAGTTAAACTCCTTATGAAGTGGTGAGGTGCCGCTCCACATTGCTTTTCTTCCCGACTGCAACACTGTTGTGTGTGTGTGTGTGTGTGTGTGAGAGCGTTTCACATGTGTGTATGAGAGATTTTTTACATATGTCTGTAAATGATTTTGGTTTCAGTTGTGTGTGTGTGTGAGCAGGCTCGGATTGGCCATCGGGAGATTCGGGACTTTTCCCGGTGGGCCGCTGCCTTTGGTGGGCTGCTGCCTTCGATGGGCCGCTGGCTGTGGCATAGGTGGGCCGTGGACTTTCACAGCGCCGCTGCACCGGTACCGCATCCGCAAACACCCACCGTTGCGAGGCTCCAGCGGCACTGGCAGGTCCGGCGCAGCGGCACAGTGAAAGTCCACCGCCGTTGCGAGTCTCCGGCTTTAACAGTCCACTACCGCCCGCGAGGACCCAGGTTCGATTCCGGCCTGAGGTCCAAAAAATGTATTTAAAAAAATAAAAATAATAATAATAATCTCCCGTTCATCGCGTCCATTCGCGACCCACCTATCACATCTCTGCGCCCCACCAGTGGGGCGCGCCCCACACTTTGAGAAACGCTGGTGTAAACTAACATTGGAAAATATTGGAAAGGACTATCTTGACATTTCAAATTGCAAACAAATAAAAGGAGATTGACATTTTAAATCCAGCTTTGAGAAAAATCAAAGTCACTGTGGAGAACTCAACGTCTAAGGGAAAACTTTTTGGGGCTCACGTTTCAAGTACTATAAAATCAGTAGGTCGGTGATTTCAACATGACCTAGAGAACCATTCAATGCTAAGAACATAACACTGTTTGAAACACTTATGTGTCATGTTACATCATACTGTATACTTAGTTTGTACTGTTTGACCAAGGCCTTCACTTTACCTTTGCTGACTCACACCAATGTTTATGTCATGCTAAAAAATGTAAGGGTGTGTTTTCAACCAATAATAGTCTGACTTTTGACTACTGACCAGCTCCCTTTTCATCCTGACCTCGCCTTCGTGTTCACTAACTACACTCCTGTCTCTGACTCGCACCCTGGTGTGTAACTCATTAGATGGGCTCTGAACGGGAGGAAAATACAGAAGGTTACTTCACACCAGACTGCAGACATTCCTCTGTTTCTCTCTTGAGAGCAAGGTAAATAAGGTTTTCTCACTTTTAGTGTTTGTACTGAACACCCTTCAGTATTTACCAGAATCATGTGTCTGTATTTTGGGCTTTTGTTGTAAAGCATGGCTACGGTTTAATATGTAGTTAACCTGACTGTGTAAATAATGTTTAGGGAAGATGAATGTGATTAAGTCTTTGACTCAAGTTAAACCCCTGACAACTCTTTCCATTTGGGGTTTATACAAAAAAATACTTTTAACCTTTTTATATTGACATACAGTAGATATCGCTATATTAAATTATTAGTGATAATGTAATGTTACTACCTCCTCAATCTAACTCTAAATACCTTTTCCACTGATTTGACTTCAGAAAGGTGCATCCAAAGTCACGTACCTTAGCGGAGGTCTCGAACCAGCCAGCGAAGCCGTTCTCCCTGCAGAAGGAGTCCAGTTTGGGCTGCTGGGAGCCCAGCTGGTCTGACTTATTGGCCAGGAGGACCACTGGAACCGGCCTCCCATGGTTTAGGGTCACCTTAGGGAGAGGAAAGACATGTTAAAGGGGACCTATCATGCAAAATGCACTTTTGTACATCTTTTATACATGAATATGTGTCCCCGGTGTTTCAGGGAACTCACCAAGTGTCAGAAAACACAACCCTCTCTATTTTCCTCCATACCCAAATCTCTAAAAAAGGGGCTGCAACGGATCTGATAAAAACTGATCCAGATTTGAACACTGTCCTGACGTCAGGACAGTGGCGCTACGGCTATTGGGCCAACTCCACCAATCAGGAGGAGACAGCCACGGCCATTGCCGTTCGAAAGCGCTGGAGACGCTGTAGTACATATGCCAGGCCAGTAGATGGTGCTGTTCTCACATAATCAGCCCTTGCAAAAACAGAGCTAAACATTTTCAAATTGAGCGAAATGAGGCATGGCTAAAATGCATGATCTGTTTGGTATTTTGAAAAAAAAAAAGTATAAATATGCCTTATATAGGTATGGTCCTACACTATATTATTATAATATAGCATGATAGGTCCACTTTAAGGGATGATTTTAACAACTGTAATTAAGGCTTTTAAAAATTGAACCGTAGGAGAAGGTGTTGTATCTATTCATGACCTTTTATACTATAGGTACAGTATGTATTTCCTTTCACATTGTCACTTTTCCTTTACATTTGTTAATTTGTTATGATGAACATATCTGTTGTAACCACTTTAAGGTGTCAGAATGATTCAAAAGAAGTGCTTGTTAGTTGGTAAAATTACATCTGAAACCCCCTATCCTTACACCTTTGCTATGTTGGTACTCACTATTATTTTAACCCAAGCTTTTGTTCTTCTACTTTTTCCCACTATTCTGTCCCTTTTTGCTAGTATGAGTGCTTCACCATGTCCACCAGGATGGATTGTCCCAAAATATGGGCCATTTGAGTAATTAACACCCCTCTGGCTTTAAAGTTAACACTTTTTGCCTTTGTACATGGTTGGATGACAAGCAGTACAATATGTGACACAGTATTGAGGTGTGAATTTTGTAAATAGAGAGAGGGGGAGAGGGGTCCATAAGCATCGACTGACAATTTAAGCAGTTCCAACATTGTACCTTTTACCTCCGCTTTGTGCACATTTTCTGCATTGCAGCTTCAAGTTTTCAAACTATTTTATTGAGTCCCAGACTGTGGAGCTTTCAACAAACACACACTTGTGTTTCTGACAGCTGTTAAACCTACTAGCAAAATCACACTTTGAATTTGTTCCTATAGTACATGAAACCAAGGTGACTACAACAAGTTTTGAACTACTGCAATGAAATGTTGGACATTTAGACTGAAATATAGATGATGTGTATTTACATATATTCATTTATCCCTCCCCTAACCTTAACTGTAACTTGGCATACATTGTTGTGGGTGTTCGCTGAAAGTGACAGAATGACAGGTTAGAAGGAAAGGCCTTAGTTTGTGCACACCTTGGAATCCAGGTCGTCCTTCCACTTCAGCACGGCGTCGAACGTGGAGGCCCTTGTCACGTCAAACACCACCAGAGCTCCCACCGCCTCCCGGTAATAGACACGAGTCATGTTCCCATAGCGCTCCTGCCCTGGGATGCATGGTACAGCCAATCAGACACACACAAACATTTATCTAAAAGGAACCTTTTTAGAGTCTGTAAAAATCGAATCAACTCATATCATGGTTTATTAGTGATAAATAAAGCAATGTTGTGTGTGTACACTGTTTGTTTATTCTGCAGAAGCACCCATCATGTGACTGATATTATCAGCATGGGATCAGTTGAGTCACAGCCAGGCACAAGATCTACATTCCTCGACCAGGCTTCAAATGACAGGGAGGGACCAGGCATCCAGCGGGCACAAACACACTGTCCCTGTGTTCACATCTCTCACTGCATAACTGTCAATCCTATCGACTGATATCACTGAGTCATAACAGTAAAACAAAAAAAAGTGTATTTTAGTGCAGTAGATTGTTTCAAGACACTTTTGATTGTTTTAGAAAGCAAACATATTTGAGGAATGGCAAAAACAAGACATCCTGGACTCAGACATTGCTTAATAGGCTAAATTGGAGATGCAGTACTGTGTCAAACTACCATTTTTTCTAATGTTCCTACATGATTATACTTTCCTAAAACTTCCCTCAAATGCATTTCAAAAGCGTATTTCTTGGAGGTTTAGGAATGTACAGATGTTCACAGCTGCTGAAGCTTTTCTTACCAACGATCCTTAAACTAAATGTTCCTACAGTAAACAAATCCAGCAGAGGTTTATAGTTGAACGGTCAACTGATGCCACAATAAACCTGTAATTCAGTATGTAACAGTTTGACAGACCTGCTATGTCCCACAGCTGCAGGCGGATCACAGTGTCGTTGTCCCACTGCAGCACCTTCAGGGCGAAGTCCACCCCGATGGTGGCTCGGTAGTGCTGGGAGAAGATCTGATGCACGTACCGCTTAATGATGGACGTTTTCCCCACTCCCAGGTCTCCAATGACCAGCACTTTGAACAAAAGTTCCTGCTGCATAGCTGCAGCTCTGCACACAAAAAAAAAACTCGTTGGAGAATTATAGTAACTTTATGAAGGTTCCCAGGTATCCCAATAAACTGTAAACTAGGTATAAAGTCACACCTAGCCTAGAAATGATGATTTTTGACTAGTAAGACATGTTTTTTTGAGTATAAAACACAAACAAAAAAGAAGATATGATCCAATATCATCGAGATTTGCGAGATAAATTGTCAACCACCCGTTTAATCACACATGACAGTCTGACTCCGTTTACCTCGCTCCTGTGAGAAGCTCCACCACACATGTTATTAACTGGTGCTGCGTTCAGCGGTCGTCGTAAAAAGTCGCCTGTGGAATTTCAGAGCATTTTCTACGGTAGGTTTACGCAAAAAGTACAAGTATTAATGCAACAGTACGTACTTTACTTAGCTGAAAGTATGGGTTCATATTAATTTGCAACCAGAAAAACACCCTGCTGTAGAAAAGTGAAGTTGCAGTAAATATAAAAGTTTGATATTCGTAGTGGAAAAAATCATGTTGGAAATTGGTGTAATGATCCCATATAGTATTTTCCTATTTAATGTTTAGTTTAATATGTCTAGTTTAACCAGGTTAGATAAATAACTAAAATGAATCTAACAACACATTTGACTATGAATTGTTAAATGTGTGTAGGACATATTTTATATCCGTTTCTATTTTAATTTGCAATGTGCTAAAGTGTATCTCCCAGTATAGGGATTAGCATATTTGATAATGATATATTAATTTCATCAAATGTTCGTGTTCGCTCATTTCGTAATTACGGTATTTGTTCTCCCACAGCCTTTGAAAGCAGCAGCCGGTCCCCGCCATTGTTGCTGCGCAGCTCCGCGTGCAGTTACGGTAGTGGTGCTGATGAGGGCGAGGAGGAGATGTGATGCTGCTGCTGTTTCCTGCTGCCATTTCCTACGCGGATCTTCACGGAAATATCATCAACAGTCTGAAGAAGCTGCAGCTCGGATCCTCAGTCGGTTTGCAACAGGCTGCTTTAATCCGTCATTTTAAAAGAGTCACGTGCTGATGGTGGATAGCAGGCCGGGTTAATGATGCATGTTTGTGTTCGGTTATTCCTGTAACACAACCACTGCTACTGGAAGATCGTTTTTAGAAGACCAAATCATCGATATGGGGTTTGCTTTTTACAGCTACTGAGCTATTAACTTTAAGGTACGTTATTATTGACATATGTTACCGCATTTGTATCCTGAGTGTAATCGTTATTGTCAATACTCACACTTGCATTAAGCTAAATGGGTTGGGCCTCATGAGTCAAGTGATTTACTCTTTTTTTTAATAAACCTTGAAGGATATCTTAGACATTGGAGGTCTTCTAGCATCAGAGGCAAATATCGGTTATCAACTAGCAGTCCTGTTTAGCAGCCATCTCTCCATTTAGCTTATGTTTGGCTAGCTTCAAGGACGCCCTGTGTGTTATTGCTGCACAACAACCACCTCTTATCCACATGGGGGCTGACTACGCCAATGTTTATTGAGTTCAAGAGGAGTGGCCCTACCCCCTCCCCCTCAAATTAGATCACCCAACTGTAAATCACATGGACCCCGCTGAGGGGGTTTGGGTCTATTACTCTCCCCTCATGGTGGCGGCCATAATCCAGGAATAATCCATGTGGTCGTCACAGTTTGTGGATTAAATGCACATTTGTTTTTTAATCGGAAACTATTTAAAGACTTCCTCTAATTCTTAAGAAGAGGGTGGCATTCTGTAGTGTGTTTCATTGTCTTTAGAGGCTCTTGTGTGGGTTTGATCAAGATTTGTTTTAATTTAATATAATTTTTCCCCTTAAAATGTTTGATATTGTTGAGACAATCTGAAACAGTCAAAGATTTTGTGAGACACAGCCCACACCATTTTGTATTTGAGTATCAAAATTGAGCATAGCTAGTAGATATGGCTCATAATTCAACTTTTGGACAAGGTTTAATTTCAGTTGTAGTTATCTTTGTTTTTTAAATAGATGCATAATAGCCTGTCAAAACAATATGTTACATCGTAATATGGATTAGATGTGGAACATTTATGTAACTCATTTTGTCAAAAGGTGGATTAATTTTTCAAGAAATCATCTCATGTTCCTGTGAATATGATCATAAACTCAGTGCCTTTATGTTTGGATTGTTAGGCAGAAAATACACTTAAAGCCATAACATGGATGACTGAATGATTTTATTTCCCCACAGATTTTATCAAGGTGAGACATGGAGACAATATGGCTTTATCAGTTCCGTCTGATCGTCATCGGAGACTCTACGGTCGGCAAGTCGTGTCTGATCCGGAGGTTCACTGAGGGCCGCTTCGCCCAGGTGTCGGACCCTACGGTGGGGGTGGACTTCTTCTCCCGCCTGGTGGAGATCGAGCCGGGCAAAAGAATCAAACTGCAGATCTGGGACACAGCGGGACAGGAGAGGTTCAGGTAAGGCCAAGCTCCTTATTCCCTGTTTGGACTTTCTCTTCATCCATCCACAAACAGATATTATAACCTACACACACACAAAAGTCACTCAGATCTCTGCTGGTTTTACATGCATTTATTTTGTGTGTGTTTAAGTTTGCTTTCTTTGTATAAATCCACACAACACCAACATAACATAAACACCTCTTGCTCTCAATCCCCCAGCCTTGTCCAGATCCTGTTGGATGTCTCCTCAGATGGGCAATAAAGATACATTTGTTCAAACCTCAGTTTACAGTATATACTAAATGTCCAGTTTACCAGCCCCAACAGTGTGTAGCCGGTATTGTTTTCACCTTGTGAGCCTGTGTGTTTGTGTGTGTGTGTGTGTGTGTGTGTGTGTGTGTGTGTGTGTGTGTGTGTGTTATACTGGTAAAAAATGGTCCTGACATACTATACTATGACACATTATTAAACATGAACTCCCACCGTTCAAATATGTAACTATACTAGGATGTCTTGTAATGACACACTTTACTATGATATTGTGTAAACATTTTTACAATATACTTTACTTTGGACCTTTTATTGGCACATTCTATTATAAAGTTTAGTTTTTTGTCTCTTAAATTGTCATAGTATATTATCTCCGAACAATCTTCACAAAAAATAATGAGAACAAAACAATAAAACATTAATATACAGACAACAGGCCATAACGGGGTATCAAATTCTTATTTCTATATAAATTCTGAAACTGAATATCCCATTTTTCTCCATTTTATACATGCCATTGAGCCATCATACTTTGCATTTATCACATGTACATTTGCAGAATCTGGCCAAAAAAAGATGAATGCATTGGTTTGGGATTATTATTTTCAGAACAGAAAACAAAGTTAGTCTTACACTCTCTCTCTCTCTCTCTCTCTCTCTCTCTCTCTCTCTCTCTCTCTCTCTCTCTCTCCCTCTCTATATCCCCCCCCAGGTCCATCACCAGAGCGTACTACCGTAACTCAGTGGGGGGGCTCTTACTCTTCGACATCACAAACCGCCGCTCCTTCACCAACGTCCACAACTGGCTGGAGGAGGCCCAGAGCCACGTGCAGCCGCACAACATAGTCTTCCTGCTGGTCGGGCACAAGTGTGACCTGGAGGCCCAGCGGCAGGTGAGCCTCCAGGAGGCAGAGAAGCTGGCCGGGGCCTTCGGGATGCGCTACGTGGAGACATCGGCACGAGAGTCCATCAACGTGGAGAAGGTGTGGAGGAGATTTCACTTGTTTTCAGATACAAGCTCAAGAATAGCACAAAAACATTGGCTAGGGGTGACACCTGATTAGCTTATCAAGCTTTTCAAGGCTTTACACTTAAATAAAGTACTTTCAAATAAAACTGAACTGAATTCAACATTTGTTATAGATTCTAAACCAAGTCATTATTCTGTGAAAGGTTACACATAGGAGAAGTAGAATTACATAATCATAGTAGAGTTAACACAAATAAACTATAGAAAATAAACAACAGCAAAGTAAATTCCCAAAATAAAATGTAACCTTAATTCTTAGCTCCTGGATTATCTGGAAATTCGTTTTTTCAGATTTTTTAGCACTGGTGATTTACATGGAATCTGATTTACTGTGTTTCACAATATAGGTCCTATATATTATACAGAAAATTGACTGAGGCAGTCAAGATCTGAGTTGAATTAAAAGTAATTTCTGAACTATTTAGGCAAGCTTTAAATCTTGTGTCAGACTTTATAAACATTTCCCAACATTGCATCCTGTTGATGTCTAAACTGACATAAAAGTCATTTTACAAAACAAACAAATAGATGTAAAGCTTAAACACCAGCTGCCTTCCTCAACTCACATAAACACTTGTTTGCAATTATACTGTGCAAAAATCCCTTTTATGTCAAATACATACATACATACATTTTTATAAATGTCCCAACATTTACTGTATAGGGTCTCAATACTTTAATGCTATTTATGTCACTCAGTTTCTCTTAAGTTACTTCCACTATTTTTTTATCCATGGTTGTGTACCTATTTGTCTTTATTTTTGTCTTTTCACTAATGTGTGCTTTTCTTTTTTGATTATTGCTGGCTTTTTTTTACCTGCTATGCCACTTTTGCTGTAACACGTAACCCCGCTCTGGGACTAATAAGTAATCTGATTACTTTAAAATCCCCCGCAATCTTTTTTTTTGCTTCTTCTTCTCAGGCGTTTGTGGATCTGACGAGGGACATCTTTGCGCTGGTACAGAGCGGGGACATCAAGATCCAGGACGGCTGGGAGGGCGTAAAGAGCGGACTTGTTCCCAACACGGTCCACTCCTCCGAGGAGGTCACCAAGGGCAACCGGCAGTGCTTCTGCTGACTCCCCCACTGCAGCATGGGGGGCTGATGGGCGGCCATACTTCAGAGGACTCCTTCTGAAGGAGCTCTCTCTCCAGCCTCGGCTGCACGCAGACCACTTTTTGGAGACTCGTTCTATTTTCCCCGCTCAGTTACACACCTTAATTCTATAAATAAGACATTGTTTAATCCTTCTGGTGCCTGTTTTTGGCTCTTTGTTGATAGAAGCACAAGCAGCATCCTAACCCCGTTTCCTGTTCTGTGTGCATGTGACTGTAATAATCCTGCAGACCCTCAACACTTCAGCTTTACTGCACATTCAGCCTTTCCTACAGTTATACTCCCGTAGGCAGTTATATGTTGTTGGCACACATCTCTTAAAGACTGATACTGTTAGTGTAATGTGTTTTATTTTATATTTAAACCTGAATCAGTGATGCAGAGACTGAGCCATGCCTCTTCCTTTTCATGTGTAATACTCTGAATAAATTGCAACCTTGTACAGATACGTAGTGAGAGAGACGAGACAGAAACTGCACCTCAAATCCTAGTGACTTAATACAGGAAGAGGGTGAAGGGTGATGAAGTCAAATTGAACCAAAGTATGACACCTGGCTGGACTCTTCGTTGTGTATCTGAAGGAGTTTGTTAAAATGTAGAAAAGGAAAAGCTACTGTAGCTGCTCACTGATTACCATTACAACCTGATCATAGTAAGGATTATTTTTAAATATAGTTATACCTAAATTCATGTTTACTACAACTACTGTGTTAGTTTACTGGTCAGCACCTTAAAGCCTTTAGTATGGAACCCCAAGGTGTTCAATATTTATTTAAAAAATAATAATAATCATATGCCTATATGTACAATACACAGGCTAAATAAACCAACAGTTGATTTAGTGAAATTACTGAATAAATGATTAAACAACTCATTAGTTTGACATGTGATCTTATCGTTCCTTTTTTTCGTTTTTCACTAAGTTTTTAGTTGATAAGGGTAATTTTCTCAAATATTTCCTTACTTATTTTATCATCATTTCATCGTATTGTCTAATTTTAATAGCAGCTGTTGTGCTAACTTAAACAATGTGATCGGCTAAAAGGTGAGATATTTTTTTATTTTACACAATGTATTTGTGTAATTTGTCATAATGACTTGTCTTTTCGATATTCAACACTTTGGGGCTCCGTACTGATTTCAAAAGTCTGTTTAAACATATTCACAATTAACACTTAACATTACACGATACCTTCTGGTCACAATCTCCTCTCACACCTATACCTAATAATTTAATTCAATTAATCAACTTTAAGAGATGCATGCCTCCATTTTGACCCACATTTTCCAAATAATTAAAATCATTTAAATTGTTTGATATACTGTTAATAGCCATTGCATTCAGTTCCTGGGATCTCATCAGAAAAAAGCAGAGTTAATGAAGATACAAAACTGTATGTGAAACACTGACGGATTTGAAAAATGTGGATTATTTGAACCCCGATTGGTTGCTCAGACTAGGACAGATTGTTGGCATTCATATTCACTAATTCAACAGTTTAGGAATAAAGATGAGTGAGTTCATACAGTGTAACAGTCCAGTGGAAGAGTCTCCTCAGAGTGCCTTTTGGAGGAAAGAAGCCTAACTAGCACACACAGTCATCTTCCTGTTCAAAGATAAAACTGTATTAAAATAACTGAATTGTAGGGTGGTAGGAAATACACTGGTGTCACATTACACACAACCTGTAAATAATTAGTTTGAAACCAAACCCTGACAAAGCCGACTGTTCGATGTTGTTTTGACTCTGGGATTGTTATAGCACAAGTGTCATCAATAATAAATGCCTGGAGACATTAATAAAGATTTGTCTTGTGCACAAAATTGGAGGTACGCTGCTCTCTTTACCATATTACTACTGCTGATACTGTTGTGTAACCACCAGAACCGGAAGTAGACAGACTCAATGTTAACAGTAATACTGTCTGCGACCACTAGAGGGCAGCCTCAGTGTGGGGGAGCTTTTTCAACACATGTTCAAAATGAGGCCTATTCTTACTTATTAATAATTAAACACATTTCAAATAAAAACTTCAAAGAAAGATAATTACAAAGTATAACGATGGTTTTGGCCTTTTGCCTTTAATATAGAAAAAGTTGGGGAAAAGGGCAGCCATTCGGAATTCACATTTTGCATCAGTTAATTTGGTACAACTTTGTAAATAAAAATCATAATTCTCAATATACTATTTGCAATTCTTAATCTTAAATTCATTTTCTCATATGATATGGTTTTCTTGCTGCTTGACCCAATAATATTTGGTCTCTCCCTTGGTAACCAAAGTAGATTAGACTGCTTATCTAATATTTGCATGTACGTAGCTTTCATTTCTCTGTCATATCTACACAGCAGCAGGGAGTTTTTTTTTTTAGTACTGAAGGTAACAAGTATGGACAGTTACCAAATATAGACAAGGCAGACATTAAAGAGGGCCTCAAACAGGAAGGAAGGCATGTAGTGTAAAACTACACTGTCTGGCCATTTTGTCAGAGGAAGAGGTGCACAGGATGGCTGAACCATGCCAAAGGGTTTGTGTTTATTTCACTTTATCAATACTTTCTTTCCTTTGTTTTACCATAACGTAAAACACTGACTAAATAAATAAAGATGTATGTGATTATTTTATGGAGATACATTTAAGAATTACATTTTTTAGGCTGCAGGATGCATGCGAGTTATTTAGTAAAACAGCTGAAAGGTTACTGACTGAGTGCATTTTAAACATACCAATATTCAAGTGGAGTCACAGGTGAAAACCAGTAAAAGTGGTCTTTAAATAGCCTTTCCCCTGCAGCTCATTCTGAGGAGGTTTGAAGTTCTTTTCAATTACAAAAGAGGTAGATAAAACACAGACTACCTGCCATTAGCATGAATTATTTTATTTAAAAAAAAACATTGAAAATACAGTTGTTGTTTTTTTTACCATGACAGCCATATGTACAGGATATAAAACAAAGCGAAAAATAGATCATTACGGTTAATGAGATAGCAATGAGGAGGGGAGATGATGGTATGGATTGTTCAAAGGCACGAGGGCTGAGAATGAAGAGCTGAGTGACAGGAGCCACAGCCACACACCCTTTAATGATATCAGAGTTCAATATTTCAATAGTTTCTGAGATACAGCTGGACTCTTTGTTTCTCCAGCCCCGGTGTCTCTCAGGCAGAAGGATGGCTCTTTAGGCACCAAGTTATCGAGTCCCAATTCAATCCAAATCTACCTCTTCTTCATCTCCCTTCTCCACAAACATTGTGTGATATGTGATGTTTTTACACATCTAAAAAAGGTGGGAACATTTCATAAGCAACAACAGGCAGCATCTACAGAAATGCCGAAATATTGCATCCACCAGGACCATTTTCATCAAAAAAAGGGGTTTCAGCAGCATTCATTATGAAATGAAATGCCTTTAGTGTAACTTACAAGTAAAACATTTCTCACCTATCAAGGTCATATGTTAAAACAGTGTGTTTGTATAATATACATCATCATACAAATGAAGAAACGGTTTTAAACAAATACTGTACAATCTACAGTAAAGCAGTTTACTAGAAGTTCAAAAAATACTATAAACAATAAGTTATAAAGACTCCAGAGGGTTGGGGTTAAAACATTTCTTTTTATATATATATATTACACAATTTAGAGACCAACTTTTAGTGGTCGTTTGTAATGGAAAGCCCAGTTTCCAAAACGCGTTCATTTGGTCAGAAAGATTTAGGATTTGGTGACGCAAGACATTTTCGACAAAAGGGGAAACAAATAAACATTAAAACAGGAGACCAAAAAAAGATCAGCACACTAAAAACTGTACATGTAACAATCAAAATACATTAACACCTACAAAGCATATCCAGTTGATTGAGATTGATGTGAAAAAGGCCGAACAAAAAAGAAAAGCTATCCCAAACAAACAATACTATAAACATTTGAATAGATCTATAAGTTAATAAAGTAGTACAAATAAAATACGGATGAATAAAATGAAAGTGATGGAAACTCTCTAATTCTTCCTTAGTTTGACTTGAAACTAAACAACAACCTTTGTGTGTCTTTTCACCAGTAAAAAAGGTGAATGCGATATTTTAGTGGTGATGAAAAACAGAGACCCCTCATTCAGAAACAATCCCCAGCTCCCAGATCAGCCAGAGGTGGACAGATTATAATAATTAAAATGTAATGCGATTAATGACCTCATTAAGTGCAAATCTGATCAACCCTCCCCAGATCTGCAGAAATATCTGGGTGCAGCCATGCGAATGACATGAAACACATATGTAAAGGAAATCTGGAATTAGCAAATTCGATTATTTGAAATTCATAGATATGTACATGCCCATATCAAACCAAATATTGGCAAATAAGTGTATGAAAGCATTTTTTGGAGATGGATGGGGTTTTCACTATCAGAAAGCAGAGCAGAGGTTTAATGATGTGACTCTTGCTTTGCAGTTTTTTGTTCAAATCAAGTTCATGGCCCTTTAAAGGGTAGAAAGAAGTTTGTTGCCCATTGGGCAGTTAAAAAACATTTTGTTTTCTGGATCATGTTAAAATGAAAGCCATAAAATACCATTTCAACACAGTCTATATGAAACAGATAGTTAACGATATGTTATTTAATATGACTTAAAAAAGGTCCCGTGTACAGTCGCTGTCTGGCTGTTCTCTGGGAGCGGGAGGGGGGGGGCGCTGTAAAGCGTGGACTTCAGCCTCGGACACTGAACCGTACAGTGTGATGACATCAAACACACTGATGCTGTAAAGCACAGACTCAGTGCCGGCTTGTTTACACACAAACAACCAGGCTGCTGCAATGAATAAAGGCCCAATAAACTAGAAACTATCTCTATTAAAGGCTCTCGCAGGGTGAGACTCACTGATCCACATGTCTACTAGCCGGTGGCTCTACAGCGCACCGGTAACGGAGAGGTGGTGAAGACGAGAACAGTTACATTTTAACATTCTTCCAGTTAACGGCTTCAGGTGCGCCGCAGTACACTTTGTTAGTTAGGTCCATCGAAAGCATGTTATAGGCAGGTAAATATCTCCCGGAAGGCTAAGGCTAAGTACGAATAGACAGATTAAACGGACACATGGGCCAGAGAGTGGCCTGTCACAGTGTCTAGCCATCAAGTTAATCAGCCTCGGAGTCAGAGGTAAGATGTGTGTGTGTGGCGCTCTCTTGCCTCTCCTCCCTTTAAACCCAGGGCTGCGCTCCAGGCCCCCTACATCGCAGCATTTGGCCGCCAGTTCAACCTCGCTGCCAAAACGTGTGTAGTTGCTCTGGCAACACCCCCCAGGTCTACGGCAGTGGGCATCAGGGGCTGCTGCCTCCCTCCACGTTGCTGTCGGTGGGGGCGCCCTTGTAGATCGGGCTCTTGGTCTGCAGCGCGGGCGCGTATTTGCGTGGGGACTTCCGCCTGGCTGCTTCACTGCTGTTCTTAATACCGTATAGGAAGTAGATGGCGAAACCTGGAGAGGAGGAGAAGCAACGGGAAGTTACAAAACAGTCACAGAAAAGTGAAGTAATAGAAATGAGAAACACCATTGGTAATGTTTATATTGTACCGATAAGCATCCAGACGGCAAAGCGGAACCATGTTCCTCGGTCCAGCTGCATCATGAGGTAGATGTTGACGAAAACACTGAACAGGGGCAACCAGGGCAGCAGAGGGACCTTCAGAGGACAGGGGGAGAGTCAGCATAACTATTTTAAACTTTACCTGGTTCTTCTCTAGGTAGCACTCAGTGAGAGAATCAGGGAACAATGTGTACCTAAGTATACGTAGAGTTTTATAAAGCCAAAACAAAACAGCCATATCTCCCTATCTGTAACACAACGGGTGCTAACTCAGAAGTTTGTTTGTTTGTTTGTAGCCTTTATTTATCCAGGTAAAAATCCCATTGAGATCAACGATCTCTTTTACAAGGGAGACCTTTTGCAGAGTGTTCCATGCTAGAGCTACATAAAGGTTTTTGTGCCTAAAACAGTCCTAGCACTTGGTACATGTAATAAAAACACATCCTGGGATCTTAGGCAATAGCTACTTGCGACTCTCTGTGATATCAGTGAGCAGATGTAAGGTGGTAGTTTACCCAGCATGGCTTTATAAATGAACATGTACCAATGACTGAGTCTCCGAACAGTAAGTGAAGGCAGACCTGCCTTGGCATACAGGGTACGCTTTACAGTTTGTAACAAATCTCAGCGCACTGTGATAGGCGGCTTCTAACTTGATCAGGTAATTGGCAGGTGCATTCATATATATCAAATCACCATAGTCCAGCACAGGTAAAAAGGTCACAGTGACTAGCCTTTTCCTGGTCTCAAGTGAGAAACAGGACTTGTTTCTGAAAAAGAAACCTAGCTTCACCCTTAGCTTTCTAAGCAGATTATTGACCTGAGGTTTAAAAGAGAGACAATCATCAAGCCAGATACCAAGGTATTTATAACAGGTAACCACTTCAAGTACTTGTCCTTGCATAGTAACAATATCCAAAGTTGTCTCCGGTGTCTTTTTGGCTTTTGAAAATAGCATTACCTTAGTTTTATCAACATTTAAAAGAAGCTTAAGCTCAGAGAGTTGCGTCTGAATAATGTTAAAAACAGCCTGTCATTTAACACCAGCCTCCTTAATGGAGGGACCTGCACAGTACATCACGGTATCATCCGCATAAAAATGTAAAGTTGCTTCATCCACATTTTGACCTAAACTGTTGATATAGATGGAGAATAAAAGTGGACCTAAAACAGAACCTTGAGGAACACCATTTGTAATGTTTGACCACTCAGAAGTGAGCCCATCAAAGTGAACATATTGGGACCTTTCAGAGAGGTAGTTCACAAACCACCCCACTGCATGGCTGGATATGCCAATACTGGCCAGCCTCTGCTTCAGGATTTGATGATGGACGGTATCGAAAGCTTTGGAAAGATCAATAAACAGAGTGTGTGTGGTTACCTTGAAGGTGAGAGCCTCTTTGCTCTCCGGCTGCCTCCAGATGATGATGACACAGACGGCGCAGAGTAAAGTCAGGATGACACACGGCACCACGACGCCTGCATGTCCCGCCAGCAGCTCTCTGAGACAGTTAGCCAGGATAACGCAGAGGACAGTGATAAAAACGGCTGCAAAGAGACAAGCAGGAGACAAGGTTGGATAACAAAATCCTAGGTTGCCCCAACAATTGACTAACAATGATGGTTAGCTTATTATCCTCATTTTCTATTTATCAGCCATCTTGAGATTCCTCCCAGCCACACTTACAGATGATAGCGGTGGTGGCGTAGACGATGTTCCCGGACGTCTGCGTTGGGACCTTTCCACTAGGGCAGAACAGCAGCTTGATGGTTAAAGTCTCCCGGAGCGGTTTCTCCTCCGTCTCCATGCCGTACTCGTCACCGCTGTCTCCTCCGCTCACGGCCACCTTCTCCCCTTCCACCATCTCCACCAGCTTCTCCGTCTGGCTGGAGGAATTCAGTCTGCCGGGCTGGTACCTGCAGAGGGAGGGGGAGATATGTGAATTCCTCAACTTTTATTATAAGATAACTTCATCTGTGCAGAGATTGGGATGCAGGTATTCTTCTAAACTGGCTTCTTTGATATTTGCGATGTCTGCTAGAGAGTAGTTACCACATTATTACAACTTCAGAAGACTTTAAGTGTGCTTTATTAGAGATGGCAAAAGTACACACATCCTTTACTCAAGTAGAAGTACAGATACTCGTGTTTAAAAATAAGTACTGACTAAACTTCTTTACTCAAGTAAAAGTAAAGAAGTATGTGCTTTGAAATGTACTTAAGTAAAAAGTACCCATAACTACCAACTGTTTACATTTTTAGTAACTGACCTCACTTTATATTAATAGAACAATCATGTTATTGTTAGCTAATGCGAATGTTTCGATGCTGAACAACAGCAAAAGGACAACGTTTTCATTGGTCCCTCTTCTTTAGAGAAGACCAGGAAATGATGAATACACGGATCGTGTTCAAATCAATAGACACGCAATGACTCTAAATAATAATGATCACGCCACCAAACACAAGAAAAATGCAAGAAGTAGAAAGTACAGGTATTTGTGTTAAAAGTGTAAGAAGTAAAAAGTCGTCAGAAAAATAAGTAGTGACAGGGTATATGCAGGAATCCTGAAGTGAAATGTAATACCTTTTAAGACCTTTTTTAAGACCCTTTCCATACATTTGAAGACCTCATCGCCACGTTGAGTTTTAACCGGTTACATTGGCGACACACTTTACCTCACATTTACTATATACAGTATTGATTATCCTTCCTCCTTATCTTCCAACCATTTGGACGCAAACTTGCATTTCCCCATAACGATGTTGTTTAACAACCGGCGTAAACGGACCTTCGCGCGCTATCAAGCAGTGAGCGTGCGATGTCCTGTTCAGATGACGGGATGCCATAAATAAACTACACAGAATCACACTACACACCTACGCAATGATTACATTCAGGCAAACTTTAGAATACAACCTCTTTGGACAATTGATATACTTATTGAAAACAAGCTACAAAATGTAATACCTTGGAAAATGCCCTTTAATACTTTTTAATACTTTTTAATAGCCTTAATTTTCGCTAAATTGATTTATCAACTTTTAATACTTTTTAAGACCCCGCGGACACCCTGAGTGAAGTAAAGCACTGATACCAGAAACATGTACTTAAGAACAATAACAAAGTATTTGTACTCCACTGCTTCCCACCTCTAGCTTTAGTCAAATAAAAAAGGTGCTTACCTGAGGATGAGGACACAGATGGCCACTAAAGAGTACGCCAACAGAGTTCCGATAGACATGAGGTCCACCAGCGCTGCCAGGTCGAACAGGAAGGCCATCAGAGCTGTAAGGAGGAGTAAAAAGGGATTTCTTAGAAAATAAACACATCTCTGTAACGTCAAAACAAATGCGTTGATGGCTAAGACTGCCTACAATGCAGAAGAAAAAAACGTAGTTTGCGTTTATGCAGACGTTTCTAAGAGTTATTGATCTCTAACCAATAGCCAGTGAGTCAGGCTTATAGATAGAGCTGAGGCAGGAGAGAGAGCTGTGACTCCAGAGAGATATAAACATCAGCTCTGAAAAGACTTGACGGGATAGACACAGCAGAGACAATCTGCGTGGCGACAAGCGATGAACAAACATGATAGGAAATTACCCAGGCAAAGATAATCAAACACAGTAAAAGGTGATACACAAATCGAGGCAATGATTGTACCTGCAACAACGCCAGAAGCGATGGTAGCCAGGAGAGGAGTCTTGGTGCGCTCGTTGATCCTGGATAGGATACGGAACAGCAGGCCGTCCTCCGCCATGGCGTAGATAACACGGGGCATCGGGAACATGGAGCCTAGGAGACTGGGGAAATAGAAAGCATTAAACTTCAGCTTTAACAGTGTTGAGCAAAACTAAATAAATACAATGTTGTGTTATGAAAGCTGCAGTATTAAACTGATGCACTTATTTTATGTTATTATTTATAAAGCTATAGAGTAATGCTTATTTACAAGTCTCGAAGATGGCCGTTTTCTCCTTAAAAAAAAAATATCGATCTTGACTGACTTATGACTCTTCTTACTATACTCAGCCTTTTTATATGCTTTTTGTGGCCTACATAGTATCGCTTTTTTGATGATATATTTAGGAGATACAATACTAGGACTGTACATTTTACAACAGAAGGCTAAGATCACAGTGTGGCCCCTCACCTGGTGGACAGAGCGCAGAGGGAGCCCACAGCCACGATGTATCTGGCGGGGGACCAGCCCACGTAGCTGAAGGCCTCGGGCAGGGGGCTCTGCCTGTTCAGCTCGTAGTACGGCATCATGAGCGTGAGAGCGGCGGACACACCGAAGTAAGCGAAGAAACAGATCAGCAGCGAGGCCACGATGCCGACAGGGATGGAGCGCATCGGGTTCTTTGCCTCTTCGCCTGAAGACAGGGGGAGATTTGAAAAAAGAGGATAAGATGAGGGAAAAGAGTTTGCATGGAAAAAGAAGCGAAGGCAATATATGGTAAGGGGAGATTTTGTGCTTTAGATGTTTTTCACATAAAGATAATAGCTCTTCAGAAATCAGAGTAGGTTTTCACATACAGTACAAGGGATTTGTCTTGGTGTATATGGTGCGCACATAAACAACGTTAAAGACAGTAAGACAAATTAACCAACAAATTAAAAAAAATTGTACACTTTTATAACATTAAAATATAGCACAACATATTTGAAAGGATATATAGATATTCACAAAAACTACAAACAGTATACTGACAAAATGCTCAGAATAATAAAATAAAATATGTGCAGTATGTTTAGAACAAGTGGAAAGCTGTGCAGATATAAAGAGAGGTAGCTTGAATACATATGTGAAAAGTATTCGGAGGGTGATCTTGCATTATTACCGGTATGCTTTATATTTTTATATCAGTGGAATAAATTGGTCATGAAATTATTCTGGGACTATACGTGGGCCAGAAAAATCAAAACTCACTACCATCAGCAGTTCCACTTCAGGTCTGTGTGACAATAGGGGAAGTAAGTCAACAAGTTCCCATGTTTAGAATCTGTTCATACTAAACAAGAAATCATGGGAACAACTTTCAATACCAGGTAAGCATTTTCATATCTGTTTATGAAGCCATTTCGGTGAGGCTGCTTCTCTACATGGCCTTTTATGGAAATATTAAAGGCACTTACTAGTTGTTGCGATGCAGTCGAAGCCCACAAAGGCGTAGAAGCAGGTGGCGGCACCAGACAGGACTCCAGTCAGGCCGAACGGAGCAAAGCCGCCTACGCCAAACTCCTCATCAACTCTGAGTCACAGAAGAAGAGAGACACAAAGTTTAGCCATCAGAAACATGTGGAACTGTAAAAAAAAAAAACATTCGCTGGCTGCTTGAAATACTGACTTGAGAGTTTTAGTGCTGTTGGAGCTGTTTATGTAGCGGACGTAGTCTTCCTCCGTCAGGTTCCAGTTGGCCGAGTCCCCCTTCACAAAGCCGGAGATGATAACGAAGCCCAGGACCACCAGATTGACGCCCGTGAAGATCTTATTCACCAGAGCAGACTCGTTCACACCGAAGGCCAGAAGTCCTGAGGGCAGCAATAGAAGAGATGTAACAGAGACAAGGAGCTTTCACATCGCAGCACCACTAACAACATGTCCTGCTATGTGGGTGGAGGTGTGGAAGCTTCATAACGTCAAACTCACCATCAGCCAGCAACACCACCACACCAATGAGTTCTACTGCCATGCAACACTAGTGGCAATATTAGTGTGACCGGTCTGTTCTGGCTGTTATGTCATGTTTTGAATACAACACTAATAAAGACTAACTGCAGTAATTCAAGTGGCTTCTTTATTTTAAAAATATATAGAGTCATTTTTTTCTTAATTCTCGCAGACTTGTAAGCCCAACCGAAGAACGATGTTTCTTCCTTAGGTTGATTTATTGAAAAATGGAACAGCTCTTTAGTATTTTACACAAAAACAATGTGACTGTCAATAAAAGAGTCATAAAAAAAGTCATACTATGCGATGACTTTTTATGACATACTATGAATTTTTACTTTTTTTGATGGCATACTATATTATACTATGACTTTTTATATGATTTTTGTGGCGGACACATTTCGGATGATATTCTTAATTCTTAATATATTATATAAGACAATCATCATGCACTTTCTCGTATTTATCCTATTCCCCCCAGAGGAGATCCAGGTTGGGAACCACTGAGATGAGGATGATGATGATGATGATGGGGTAACTCACCAGAGAGCAGCAGGACCAGGATGAGGGCGAACAGGTCCGGGTATTCAGCCAGCACATTTCCTGGCACCTTCATTGTCATGGAAGCTTTAAAGAAGCCAGAGATCTTTTGCTCAACCAAGCTATCGAATGTTGAGCTCCACGCCCTGGCCACACTGGCCGTACCTAAAAGAGAAGATAAAATAACTTGAATACCTCAACCACGCAGTGTCTGAAAGTGACTCATCCTTTACCTTGTTATCTACAGCATACTTTTAAATGCATCAGGTTGCAGAACATGAATGTGCTGCAACAACTCCACTGAAAGAAAGCTCACCTATCACATAGGAGAGGATGAGGTTCCAGCCTGTGATGAAGGCCCAGATTTCTCCCACTGTCACGTAGCTGTAAAGGTACGCCGAGCCTGTTTTGGGGACACGGGCGCCGAACTCAGCGTAGCACAGGCCGGCCAACATGGAGGACAGAGCGGCGATGAGGAAGCAGAGGACGATGGCGGGTCCGGCCTTTTCTCGGGCGACCTCACCAGCGAGGACGTAGACCCCAGCGCCGAGGGTGGAGCCGACCCCCAGGGCGATGAGGTCGAGGGTGGACAGGCAGCGGGCGAATCGGGTCTCCTCCCCGGAGAAGTCCAACGCCCGGCGACGCAGCAGGACTTTGCCAAAGGTGGCCAGCTTGTGGGCCATATTTGCTGTGACTGTGGGGGGGGCTGGACCGGGCTGTGTGTTTTAAATTCTTCGAGTGTGGGCGTGTGTGATTGACACACCCTAAACAGAACACGTGCGACTGGTCTGTGGGTAGAAGTACTCGAGCAGCTGGGTAGGTTAACCAAGTACTTGCTTATTATTGGTCCTTGAGAATCAGAATCAGAAACAGCTTTATTACCAGGTAGGTTTACACGCACGTTACCCGGTGCATACAAGAATTCATTTGATGTTGTTGTTATGATTTATGAAGGAGTGGCAGATCAGCGGTTACAGCGCTTTGCAGCAGCAGATTAGGCCCTGTAGAAAAAGATAAGAAAACAAAATCTCAAAACAAGGAACTATTCAGATAATGCCAAAGCTTATATGCACACGGCCTTGTGTTTGACACCGTGTCCTAGGATTATAGCCACATTTCTTACCAGGAAAAGATTTCAAACTACAGGCAGGGATAAGAAAGTGAAGTAAACATAAATGTTTGTCACCTTGACACGGCCGGTCCCACAGGGGCTATACAAAACAAGTAACAATTTTGTAACAAGTTGGTTTTTGTAGGGATTAGTGAACTCAGGTAGCACCGGCGATGTTGGAGGCTTTCCTAGAATATTCCACTCCTCTAATAAAAAGGAGAGGGTCTGTCAGCAGCTTTGGTGAGACAATAAAAAGAAACATTTCACTACACGGGAACCTGTATAAATACCAGTTACGCAACTTCCAGGAATTCATACCTCCACCTCTTACCGCATACTGTAGTAACACATCATGAGACGCAGTAGGGCACAAAGACACCTCATGAAGACAAAAGTAAACCTACTGCTATCCACCACTTAACTCGGCCTCAACAAATAAACCTGCCATAGCACACACACCCATATGAAAACACAAGAGCACCTAGCGTAATTCCTCACCACTCCCTCACTGCGAGAAAGGACACACCGCTACTTTTGATATGTTTTTTCAGCAGAAAGAGGCTGATAGGGAGAAGCCTGGGAAAGCCAGGGCTGTGAAGAGATGATATGGTTGAATTCTGCAAGCTAATATCAACAAGGGAGAGGAGGACAGCGTGAACCAGCAGCTCGATAAGATGAACCAGCTGCCCTGCCACAAGGTTGAGATAATAAAGACACACTCGGGGTACTGAACCGTACCCTAAAGAAAACTGCAGAGTTCAGTAACAAGGTACTTGAGTAACAATTTCAATTTTACCCTTGAAATCAAATTAGTACTGTTTTGCTTTAATTACTTTATATAACAGAAAAACCTCTTATAGCCAAGTTTATTAATACCTTTCCAAGATGTCAAATTAATGAACACCTGCTATATGATTTAAGCTTCTTGGAAAATAGTCATACTACACAAAAAATAGACTAATTGACTTACGAAATCTTATTCGGCTATGACCAAACCGTGGAACTGGTCGACGAATCCATCCACAAAGAGGGAGCAGCTCACTTTTATTTCAACCAAACTGTGTTCAACAAGTCACTCCGGTGTGATAAACCATACTGATCCTTTTTGAAACACAGAGCACAATAATATTGCTGCATTGTCAATCATTTAAAAAAAATCCTAAAACATCCTCAAGGACAACGGCATCACACTCTACGTCAGGAGTAATGATTTGTTCAAGTTTAGGGAAGGTTGAATGATAATGATTACATCAGATTCAGCTAAACACACCATGCACACACACAGACCCACACAAAATGCATTGCGGGCCAAGGACACTGCGTACAGCTCATCTGACCAGGAAAGATACAACGTTTTCTGTTTGTCTAAGGTGACTTAGACTGGTTTGACGTAAATCACTATCGACAAAACACACCCTGCAGAAGTATGTTACAGACCAGTTCCAGGAACCTACTAGTCATGAGGTTGCCACATTTCTTAATGCCATTTAAGATGTTTTGGTTTTGTAGATTTGTTGCATAAGATTGTTTCCCCTCAAATCCTAGTGCTTGAACAGGTTCATCTGTGTTTCTCTACGAAGATGAGATGTTTAATGAAGATTTTACACGCAGCTGCTCCTGCTGAAAGACTCAATAAACAAATGTCAAAATATATTAGATGATATACTTCTCTATGTACTGTAATCCTAGATAGCAGAACCAAAGACCCACCGTGCTGTCAGTTTTTGATTTGTCCATCACCAAATAAAGTGGACTTGATGACTTTTGGACTTTCAGATGTCCATGAAGAGCCACAGTTCAATGTTGTGAACAAAGCTTTACACATCAAGTGTGTGTGAATGAGTGTGTGTGAATGTCTGTCACTAACAATCCAACATTTGCCTTCATTAAAACGTGTCCTCGCTTCAAGTTTATTTGACCAGCAGAGTTGACTTCCCATTTTCTTATTAGTATTACAGGTCATTCCATTGAGTTTTTTATTTGGTAAAAGCAAATAAAACACATTTGCACATACAAGTATTGGCAAAGCCATGTCTCTTAAGACAAGGGCAGGGCCAAGTTTATCTTATCTGCAAATACTACACTTCTTTTACAACTACTACAACTACCACTGACATGACTTACCATTAACAACTTTTTTTTTAAATTGCCAATGACAATTGATCAGTAAAAAATGTCCACAGTCCTGAAATGGGTACCGTCCAAAAGGATCAGCAGTGAAGCCATAAAAAGGCTGAACTCAGCTCTCAGGGATTAAAGACATACCTGATTAATCTTTTGATTCAGAGCAATTTACAGAAGAAAAAGTAGATGCTTCATTACCCTTAGAGCACAAGTACCTTGAATTCCAGTAGACTTTGAAGGTAGGAGGCGGAGCAATGTCAACGGCAACGCTGCACCCAGTCTGAAGCTATTAAGGCTGACACCTGATTCCTGGTGTTAGTGCTGAGAAGGCGCACAGACATTTCAGGCACATCAGTCACTTCACCGGTCAGGCAGCAAAGAGGAGAAGTGAAACTCTAACCCCACAACAAAACCAGACCGTGATGTAGCACAGTGTGAGCGTGGCTGTCTACCTGGATCACAGGTTAGGCAGAAAAAAGCCTTTTCACATGTATTAACAGTGTGAAAATAAAGATGGCGGGGCAAAGAGTGCAGAGAGATTTACACATAGTATATTTTTTGTTGTGCTGTCGAGGTTTTTTCTGACCTTGTGTACAATTAAAACCTCATTTAAAGCACTGGTCCTAGCAGAACACACTTATTGAAGAACATAACGCAACATGAGGCTAGAGCCGTTTTTCTTATTTGTTCCAACATTATGTGGAAAATAAAATGTCCTCCCTACTCAGCTCCGGTGAAAAGAGGGAGCATGACTCAGGTGTGAGAAACGAGAATGTGTATCAGATATTTCAGGGTTTAAAAATGAATGGATAACAATGGCAGCCAAAAATTGTCATGAAAAGTTATGCTAATAGATCAAAGATAACACAAATATTTGATTGATCATAACTCAACATGCGTAGCTGTGGTCGGACAATGTCTAGGTTTCTAACCAGCTTGTATTTCTGAGGAATCCCATGGCATGAAAATAGAATGAAAATGCAAAAATGGGCCAAGCACTAACCACAACCACACAAAGTTCTCGATTTCTGTTGTTTTGAGTCAGACAGTAGATTAGATCATTTCAAAAAGGAAGGAGAATACAGTATTTCGGCTGTACATTATGTTATGGTCTAATTTTGGCCTTTTCTTTCTCATAGCACACAGGATCAAAGCTCTCACAATGTCTCAGTACAATGACAGTATTCTATTAATACCATAAAAACAACATCACCTATTTATCAAAGCTCTTTTAGTCTAACCGTTTCAAAAGAGAATATCCTGCCCAGTATAGTTAACGTGAAGAAAAAAGACCTACTCTGTCAAACAATGAAATACAAACAACACAGAGAGCACCCAACAATAAACACTCAGCCCTCTGAAGACTGATGGGAAACTGGTACATGGAGGATATTCTCCCACTCCCCACTTGGTGTGACATTCCAGTAGCGTTTTTCTACACACACACACACCAGGAACTGAGGTCTGACAATGTCAATGTTGGGTCAATAAACATTTATTACTTGAGAACTGTGCCCAGCCGGCTGTGATGTCCTCGGGGGTTCGAACCAACACTGCACACCTTCGCTAAGCAGAAGAAAAAAACCCTTTGATAAAACCGTGCAAACTGGAAAGTTGTATCAAGCAACAACGCATAGGAGCAATTCAAATTTGAAAGGAAATGTCATTTTTTCCTTCCCACATAATTGTTTCTTTCTCTGAGCCTTCAGAGACCCAACAGTTAGAAATGCACCGAGCTGCTTGATGTATGACCCCACGCCGGGTCACCTACTGTAGCTGCTAATCTTTTCCTTGTGGTTTTCACGAGGGTGCCCGTTTGTGTAAGTGGGGCAGATTTACTCTATGCCATGGCACGGAGGTGTGTCCCTGTATGTGCGTGTGTAAGCTCCACTACGTAACAACCCACACACCCACATGAAAAGGCCAGGTTCTTCCTGCAGCCATTTTATGATCTTCAGATTTTAAGTGTTGACAAGTTGATTAATGCCTTGTTGTTTCGTTGTATTTACTTTCTTGAGAGTCAACCTAACCAGAGTAAGTGGCAAGTTTTTTTAAAAAGAGGCAATATAAAAGCTCTTTATGTTGGAGGACTAACAGTGTTTCCATTACAGCGGGATTCTGGGGAAATGGGCCTGTTACTAGACTTAGCATTGCTGCAACTGCCGGCACAAACTCTAAGAGGATTATTCAGAGAAGAAACAAACCGCCTAACCTCCTATAGCCTGTTGCTGCTACTCCTACTATCGACACAAACAACGCATGGCATTGTTTTGACTGCCACCTTCGACCACAACAACAGAGCTCTATGGTTATATAACCGAACAAGCAATGTTATTACTATATCAAGGTAGAATTGTTCAATATCTAATTATCCACTCCCACTTTAAAAAAACAAAACATGAAGCTAAATTAATTTAAGATTCTGTCCCTCACAATCCTCATATTATTAAAAAATTGCAATAAATGTTGTTTGTTTTTAAATTATAAGCAGTTTGAGCTTTTTTCATCAAATGTAAAAATGTAAATCTGATTTTGACTGACCATATTTCCACCTGGACATTTTAATATTTTTCTTTATTTATATACATACTTCTCAAAATGTGCATGGAATATAGTCCTAAAGCAGGGGTGTCAAACTCAAGGCCCTATGTGGCCCCACAAGAGCTTGCAAAGAATATAATATGTTTATTATATGGTTACATGCTACTTTACAGAAGCACATTGCCCATAAAATACATGTCCCACAATGCATCTCAAATTTGCCTTTTTCTCAGAATTTGACTTTTTTTCTTCAACATATGCCTTTTTTTCTCAGAATTTGCCTTTTCTTTTCAAAATATGCCTTTTTTTCTTAGAATTTGCCTTTTTCCCATAAATAGGTTTGTCTTCAAAATGTTACTTTTTTTCCAAAGTTTCACTTCTTTTTTTCAAAATGTCACTTATTTTTTTTTGTTTTTCCAGAATTTGGCTTTTCTTTTTAAATCATATTGTGACATTCTTACTGAAGAGACTTGCAATTATTTGCCCTAGACTTCTGCTTTCAGACGTAGTTAATTATGAAGTTATTACCCTATCCGATAATAATCCAATGCAGAGGCAATAATGTAATACAATACATTATTTTATATATATTAAATATTTATATATGTATTTTTATATAGTCTTAAAATTACAACTGGCCCTTTGACTATAATGCTGATGTGGCCCGTGATGAAATTGAATTTGACACCCCTGTCCTAAAGCCTACATTTAATGAACATCCTGTACTAATACCCTGTACCCTTTTCCGTAATACAAATAATAGTCCTAATGACACCATAGTTGTAGCGTTATTTGTTGTGCCAGCAGATGAACAAAGGGAACACCATGTTCAGTTCTCTGCAAGGCTAACATCCAACGGCCCTATGTGACCTTGCGTAACCCTGGAAGAGACACCGTATCACGACTGGCTGGACAGAGTCGGCGAACCATTCTTCGAGAATCACACAGAGAAACAATGGTTTTCCAGGTGTTTGAAGTTATAAACAGTACTTCTTTTGAGCCAGAAATGTATGTTTGTATGTATAAGATTCACGTTAGCTTCGCATAAAAGCTGTGTTTGTGGTTGAACTAAAGTATGTGGGAAGAGACCGACCGCTGAGATTGAACTGAACGACCCTTTAAGTCACCTGGCCGAAAACCAGCGGTCTTGCCAAAAACTGCTCTGTGCTGCGAGATGGAATGTGACAACGTAAGGATCTGTTCACTTTCCCATGGTCAAAGCCAACACCATTAAATACAAATCTACACATTATGAGAACGGATAACCAATCAGCCTGACACGTACGTTATGGCTACAAGGTTACACAGTCATGTCAGAAAATATAAAGCAGAAAAACTTGACAGTCGATGTATGATTCACTCAAAGTAATTATTATGCTCTGATTAATTAGAAACTAGAATGCAACATTTCCCAGCTTCTACTAGAAATCTATTCACAGGAAAAACTAAAAATAACTCTTAACACAATATACATGCATTTAACCAAATATGCCTATTGGTCATCATGTCAGAATGTTGACTTAATGCTTGATGCATAAATGTACCCTGACCCGGATACTGAGGTATAGGTTGGTGAGGAGGTGGTGCAAACAATTTCTGTTACACAAGATTTCTG